GATGATTCGGTGGATTTTTAGACGGTTGATTAAAAATTGAAAATTAATAATAAAAATTTTAAACTTCCTACTAAGAACTATAACTTTAATATGTTTAAGCTAAATATTATAAAAATAATTGAAACGTTAACGTTCTTTGTTTTTTAATTTCATTTTTATAACCATTTAATGAAAAACTGTGAAGAATAACGATTTTATGATGATATGATGAGTAATCATGACTAAATAGGATCTAGGGAATTCTAAAGAATTTTTAATATCCTGAATTCTCATAATCTAGCGACTTTCGATGGTACTTCTAGTGACTTGTCCAAATTGAAGGTGGCAACACTGAGCGCTCTTCCCACCAAGTCGAGTCTGTCCGCTGGACCCTTCTCACTCCCGTTAGCTGAGTGGCCGCGACTGGTGTACCACTGTTCCCCATTTGATGGAGGTGGCCCTGGCTAGCTGTCGCCTTAGCTTCCACCACGGCCGCCTCCACTGAGCCTTAAGCCGTCAACAGTCAACTTGTCAAAATATTCTGTTGCCAACGGCCTCAGTGAAGGCGTACAACCCGAGTGGCGCCTGTTTGCGGTTGCGCTCTATTGGTCTCGGGTTCACGCCGTGTGGCCTCCACTTGGTGGTGGGAAGCGTTGAATCACGCTGTCAAGGGGTATTAGATTTGGTTTGGTCGAGCACTTAGTTAAAATTTCCTAGAATTAAAATTAAAAAATGCTTTTGGGTTTTCTGCGAAATTTTCATATTTGTAGTGGTTGTGATTAAAAGAATTGAATTTAATCTACTCCTTTAAATGCGGCTGCATATGTTTTGTAAATATATTTAATCACTGTATTTGATTGTTGCGTCTGTTTGCTGAAAGGAAAATTTGAATTCATTTGAAATTGAATGTCGCGCTATTTGGAAAATTGTGTGTATGTTTTGTGATAGTGTTTAATCATTTTGCTTTGTGAAAATGAAGGCTGAAATTAGATAACCCTATTTGTGCCGAAAGGAATAAGGAGTCGTTCCTCCGTTGGTTTACGCATTTGTAGGCACTGTCTAAGATACTTATTTGAAATGAGAAATAGGGCTGTCTCTTACGTTTATTGTTTTGTTTAATTTGCAAGTTGACCTATGTGCATCGGTGATTAATTTGGTTGAATTAATTCTGTAGTTGAACATTGTACGGGGTAAAGGGGGGTAATCCAATGACCAATGACGAACGCACACTGGTTAAAAGATATATCTCACAGTGTGAAAGCCAATCGCGGGATATAATTTATATTTCGGGATATAACATATATTATATCCCATAGTGAAAAGCCAGCCTAATAACAAATAACCCAATTTATTTACACATCTTCGCAATCTTTAAATTTTTCATAATTAATCTTGACAAAATATAAGAAGCCATCCGTTTACAACAGTGAACGATTCTGGTAAGTTTCACTGGAAGATTTTTAGATATTTTACCATTTAATTACTTAATTAAATGGTAAAATATCTAAAAATCTTATGAACTAAAAATTTCCTGTTTATACTTATAAACAGGAAATTTTTAGTTCATAAGAATTAGTCTCTAATAAATATATAATAATCTAGGACATTTAGGTTATTACCACTGAGTACTTTGTATAAAAATAAAACCGGAAGGATAGTGCGTGCTATTGAATATAACGACTAAATAAAACATTCTTAGTAAGATATCACTTTCAATTTCGGTACTACGTTTAAGTGAACAATAGCAAATAAATAGGATTAGGTAAACAAACACGTTAAAAAATAGTTATATTGATAAGTTGTGTTGGTAAGTATAAAATGCTTAGGTCTTAGAACATAGGTTTTATTTTTTCTTGTTATGCTTTCGATAATCCAAAATGGAAGGACGTAGACTAGTTGAAAAATAAAAGCAAAAAGGTTGCGAATATTAATAAAGCAAAAAAAAATGCACATCACATGAAGACAGCCAATTGCTCACTGTCTCCTTGTGCGTATTAGCTGCTGTACTTTTGCCTTCTTGTTAAAAAATAATAACAATAGTAATACTATTAACATTACTAACACTCCCAGTTAATCACTCAAAGTAAGCTTAAAATGCTTGTTACAAGGTTTACGACAGTAGTTGAATGGCGGATTTGAACCACCCAGTTTGCTTTTCTGTCCCTTTACGAATAGGCGGCTGTAGCTTCAAAATATTATTTTGTTTCATCCTTTTCTGCTTATGAGCTCCTCTGCGTTGATACCATCCTTCACTACTGTGCTCTGGTCTGGACTGTGGCATGTAGAGAGACAATAATTACATTAATATAAATTGAGTATATACATAGGTGCCTACGTACTGCAGCACTACTAACTCACTCATTTGTCACCATCGATATATATGTACTACGTACTTATTATACTCTTTGACTACGTACTAGATTGCGCATTCCGAACATACACTATGTTCAACTGAACTGTACTGCAATCCGTACAGTGTGTCATTTAGTGTGTTTTTTTTTTTTTTTGGAAATTATGGCCTGGTATCTAGACCTTTAGGCCAAGTCTTAAGTATTTTTATTCGGTTTATTGTAATTTCCCCACTCCTTCATAGTAAACTGCTTCACAATATGTTGATGCGTCACATTGTGCAGTTCTTGGGAGATTTTGGCGGCAACTTGATCCAGCAGACAGCTGATAGTTGGCGATGGTATCTAAAGGTGCCTATGCAAACAAACAGCTTATCTTGAGAATCCATCACCATCAGAGCACTTGTTTCACTGTTTCCACTAATAGTTCACATGCGTAGACACTTAATACACAAAATCGCAACACTTTTACATATCAAAGTCCACTTCAAACCATTATTTAAACAATAATACAGGAGCAGCAAACCGCCGCCGGTCAATTTCCCGCCAAAACCTCTTTAGTGTGGTTTCAATCTACTAGTTCACAGATTACTGTATACCAGTACTAGTTAGTCTGTGGTTTCAATATTCATGCAGTGTGAAGCGGCGCTAATAATACAAGATTTCAAATTAAAGTCGTAAATAACAATTCAGTACCTAGTCAAGTAAGTAAAATTATTTCTTGTTCTAGTGAATAAATAGGTAATAATATCGTAATATTACATAAGAAATCCACTGCGTATGTGCGACCAGTGCGACTTTACTAACTCCCGCGCATGCACGAAAACATAGAGTAGTGCACATTTTTTGTTGAGAAAGGCTTCTCTAGTACGTAGTACATATAACTCAATGTTTGTCACCTTTTCATTCATTCTTTTAGTACTTTCCCCTAGGACAGTTACTATACTCTTTGTTTCCCCGTTTCCCCTATAGATTAAAAAAATATTTGCTCACTAAGTGTAAGTGTACCAACAAGTATTGAAATCTTACATTTAAGAGATTCTTATTAAATAATAAATTAAAATTGTATCATTAATACAAAAAAGTAATTTAATGTAAGATGTTGTACATAATATACAAGTTAACAAGATATTTAATTCACCCACATCTATTCTCATGTACAGTGGATGGTGTTTTTCATTATTTACTTTAGTCCATGATACTTTCCTGGCATTTCTCATAGTGTATCATACAACAACCCTTGGGCTGACTCACTACTTGCTAACTGTTACTGCCTATCTGAAGTCTACTGCTGAAGTTATATAATAGATTGCCTCATAGGGAAGATATCTGTAATAGTTGCCTTACTTTGTGTGTGAGCAACCACAGCTTTTTTTTCTCGTATATTTATTAGGGAGCCACTGCTGCCCATCTCCTGGTTTGTTTCCCTCTGTCGCCTTTTACAACACCCACGTAATGATATGGGGTGATGCAAATTCACACCACCACTACACGGTCTAGGTCTAGTTCGGTGTACATATATTATATTTTTATCAATATATTGTGATGCTAATAAGCTTAGTAAGTACTTTCCCCAGGTAAATGCTGTTTTGAATATTTAATTAGAATGTATTTCTTTAGCTTGCTAATGGAATCTGCACATTCATGAGTTGATTCCATAATTTAAAATAAAAAGTAAAAACTAACTTAATACTAAAATGAATAAAATATTTTTCACATAATTTAATAGTTATTGAAGCCCCAATGGTTTAATTCTCAGATACACTAATTCCCAACACTATTTTCAGATGCTATTCAATTATGTGTAACTTGTTTTATATCCTTTAGTTTTTTAAAGTCATGAAAAATAAAGTGATGTACATACCTAGGCAAGCACTTTCCCCAACATCATTACACTGGGAAATACACACCACCGTTCATAATACATAATTTAAAATAAAAAATATTGTGCAACTGACTTCAATATAAATTATTAAGAATAACTCAAAAACTATTAGTACCTACCTTGATTAAATTTATATGGGACCACGTGAGAAGCACCAGCTTTAAAATAAAAAAAAATCATTGAAATTGGTTCACCCAAAAAAAAAGTTATGAGGTAATACACATAAAAAATCATACAGTCAAATTGAGTATCTCCTCCTTTTTGAAGTTGGTAGAAAATGTGTTTCTTCTGTAAACAAGACATCGCCAGGAGAAAATAGACTTTAAGATGGCACACTAAGTGGAGTTAAATATTGTAGTTAATTGTGCATTGTGCATGTATTTGTGGAAGGCAGAGGTGTTTCTAAATAAGTTACACACTTATTTTTAACAAGGATCTTAGCTAATTCATTTTCACATCCTTAAAATAAAGAATTTCTGCAAAGTAACTTTACAATTCTATTCATTAGCTTGAATGTTTATCAAATTCAACTCTAAATTAATACCTTTTAGATACGTGTACATACAATTTTACCATGAACTTGTAGCCACATGATACAAATGGAAAATATGTCATACCTTTGGTCATACCATTAGATACTGTAGATTTGTCAGTTGTCACTTCTATCAACAATTAATGTTGCTCCAAAGCATCACAACAATTTGTTGCCCTTATGGAGTAAAAACAACTTAACATTGAGGAATGAAGATTTAGAATTTGAAATCAAAGATAAGCAGGACATATCTGATATGGATATATATAATAAAATTGAATTTGAAATAGATGATGAACAAGATATCTCAGAGTCGGAGGCCACATATGTTAGTCCCACAGGTAATCATAATTGATACATATAAATTAAATTGAAGTGTATGTCTATAATATTGAAATAACTAGCATAATAACTCAGGAGTTTATTTCCTTGTTTCCATGCTATTGAGATGTATACTATATAACCATTTAAAAAAAACATGTGTTCAGTTCACATGCGGTAGAAGTGAAACCATGCAGCAAACCATGAGTGAAACCTTTAAATTAAATTAAATATAAAACAAAAAGATTTATTTTAATTTAAGTATTTAATTTGTTAATTTTATAGCAAATAAATGTTACACTCCTTATTTTTAGACATGTAGAGCCTAAATTTTAGTGTATTAAATCAAAACAATATTTTCTTTCGACTAAAATTGCTTTGTAATAGCGACGTCTACTGAAGTCAATCAATTTTTGATCGTTAAAATGATTTTACCTGTACAGTGAATTCTGTAGGTAAATTCATTTTATTAAACAAGGAAACTAAAATTGATTGACTCTCAAGGTGGTCCGTAAAATAGACTAATTTAATATAAATAGGTAAGATATGTAATCATGGATTATTAAGCATGGTTCGGGTATGATAATTTTATTCAATACTAGCTGGTAACGGTGCGTTGCTGCCGCAAAAAAAATATGTGGAAATATCGTTTCAAATTTGGAAGACTTATATTTTAATTAGGAATGGTAATACATGTATTGAAGTTGAGTAATAGGTATATTAATTTCAAATAAATTTGTCGGTATGATACGCGCGCCACCTCTATGCCTATAACCTTCGCGGAAATGCAAGCAATAAGTTAACAAAGTTTTCCCGCAATCAGATGAACGGTATATGGCAGCGTATGAAATACGAACAAACAAAAATTAATTTTTATATGTTTATATTAAGATACCTAATTAATTTTATTTATTTGATAATAAATTTGTAATTTATTATTTCTTTATTTTAAGATTTAAAAGTTATATTAGCCATTTTAAACCGCACCGCACACAGAGGAGATTGAGATAATTGGAAACACTTTATACTGAACTAGCTGTTCCTCGCTCTGAGCCGCGCGACATGACACCTCGCATGTTCTCTTTCGGTTCTCACCGGGTGCGTCGTTCGCGCGCCGAGTGTAGAATTATTTTAATTTATCATTATCTCTTAAACTGTGCATCCAAATAACATGCTTTGAAGGGCAATGTTTGTCTTCATAAAATATTCTTGATGATAAAGTAACTTTCGTTCGTAAGGATGCTATGCTTAATAATAACGCTCATAAATCACTTTTTAATTTTCCATACTTTTTGTCACAGAATACCTAATAAAATTCCTAACAAACGAAATAGGACTATGGTATTGCGGACTTTTTTTAGATGGAGCAAAGATTTATATTTTTGTAGAATATAGTATTAACGTATCACTAACCATTATGCCAGTACACGCCGATTAAGTAGTTCGGGAGCGCATTTTCTTCCGACTTGCTTTAGAAAAATCAATTTTTAAGGCTAGCTGAGTGGTGCCGCCTGATGTTAAATAGTCTATACTATTCCTCGTGAATTTAGTTATCATATACAAAAAGAAAATTATCAAATCGGACTGGTAGTTCCAGAGATTGGCGTGTCTAAACAGACAAAAAACCTCTTCCGCTTTATTATATGAATATAGATTCTATCTCATTCTCTTCTATAGATTTATATATTTGTCTCTTTTTAGTGTCGCTTTTTCGTTTCATTTGTTTCAAATCACAAGGATGCTAAAGAAGGTTTCACTTCAAAAATCTGTCTAATAATGGCAAATCCGTTGTGATGAAACTTTACGACCAGATATTGAAGAATTATTTTTTGTAAAAACGAAAAATAAGTTATTATGTTCTATCTTTTCCAGAGAATTCATCAAATCCCGATGTCGATGCAGAAATAAGTACAAATTTGTGCTATATCTGCAATATTAAAGTTCCCTTGCCATATATGAAGGAACACATAGATAGTTCTAAACATAAGACATTCCTAAAAATAGCAGAAGTTGCATTAGAAAGAGTAAAGAAGCAAATGGGCTACAACTTTTCTAATAAAAATCCTGTACCGTCGATGTATTTTTGTCAAACATGTGTTACAACAACACCTGTCAAGGACAAATCCTTCCATATAAAATCAAACGCTCACAAAAATGCTGTTATATTAGATAGATTATTAAATGAATTTTTAAAAATATACGCACATGAAGAATTAGAATCAGATAACACCAAATCTGAAATTGAAACACCTAATCATGAAGAATTGGATAAAGTTATCAATAAAATGTTAAATGCTAATTCTACTATAATCTGTAATGATGAAGGCACAAACATATCCAATATCCAAAAGCCAGTCAACAATAAAGATATTGCCAAAGAAATAGTTGCGAATCTGAAATCAATTACATTTCAAAAGATAAATAAAGATGCTATTGTCTGTTCTGGTACAAATTTAACAGAATACATAAATGTTTTAAATGCTAAAACTTTTTCTACACACAAGTTGAAAGATATCAATGGCGAGTATCTTATTATCAAAACAAAAGATGGCAGTCAGTTAAAAGTGACACACAACAATTTTCATGGAGTATTGACTATGGGAAAGCGTCATGCTCAGTGCAAACTGTGCACGGAAATAGTTAGAAATTTAGACGAACATATTTGTTCCCAAAAACATATCGAGAAAATAGTACTGCCAATAAATGACAAGGAATGTATTAGAATGGTAAGTGTTTATTCATTATTACACTATCACCACAGCCCATCACAAGTCCTCTGCTAAACAAAGGCATCCGCGATAGATTGCCACAAAATTCTGAGCCACCTGCATCCATAGATTTACCTACACACACATACCTAGACATAGATAGACCTGCGTATTTTATCAGATCGACACACCATGTACTTGGTGGTCAGATGAACTCCGAGGGTTAACCTTTGCATGGTGAGTTTATTATAACTTCATAAATATGTCATACCATTTGTCTCACTCACCTTCGATTTGCCGACGATATAGTCCTTATTGTAGAATCGCTGGAGGACCTAAGCACTTAGCTCAATGACCTCAATAGTGTCTCCCAAAGGATAGGTCTTAAGATGAACATGGACAAAACGAAGACCATGTTTAATGCCCATGTCACACCTATGCCGGTAGTTGTTGGGAGCACAAGCTCGAAGTTGTTGACGAGTATGTTTACCTGGGACAAATAGTCCGACTAGGTAAGTTCAACTTCGATTGAGAGGTCAATCGACGGATTCAACTCGGCTGGGCAGCGTTCGGAAAACTACGACACATCTTCTCGTCAGATATACCTCAAAACCTGAAAACAAGATTGCATAACCAATGCGTGTTGCCAGTGACGACTTATGGATCTGAGACGTGGTTCTTCACTGCTGGCCGTATGGGGACGCTCAAGGTCGCTCAGCGAGCTATGGAGAGGGCTATGTTCGGAGTTTCTCTGCGTGATAAACTTATAAATGAGGATATCCGCAGTAGAACCAGAGTAACTGACATAGCCCAACGGATTAGTAAGCTGAAGTGGCAATGGGCCGGCCATATAACTCGAGGAACCGACAACCGATGGGGAAGAAAGGTTCTCGAGTGGCAGCCTCGTACCGGTAGGCGAAGTGTAGAGCGACCCCCCATTAGATGGAGTGACAACCTGGTAAGACATCCGGGAAGTCGATGGATGCAGGTGGCTCAGGACCATGCTTTGTGGCATTCCTTGGGGGAGGCCTATGTTCAGCAGTGGATTTATGAAGGGCTGTAATGATGATGATGATGTTGATGAAATACCTTTGTCAAAATTCCGTTCATGAGATGTTATGACTGATATTTGGGACTCAGGTGAAATTATTTGTTACACATTGTCATTTAATTGAGAAGTAAGTTTTGATTAAAAGTATTAATATACAAAACAATGCCTCAGTTGTTTGGTCTTTTTTTGCACATTTTGTTTTTTTAATTTTTCTAATTTTTCTAATTTTAGTTATATCCGTAGTTTATTTTATTCATTCCTCATCTAATTATTATAAACTGTAACTAATCTATATCTATATTCTATATATATAATAAATCTGTAGAAAAGTAGTGTCTGTAATTCTAATATATTCTTGAAAAAACATGTCCAGGGGACTAAATAAAGGGTTCTGAAGGCAAATTAGTGGTTTTTAGAATTTTTGTCTGTCTGTCTGTGTATTCCGGATTCACGCAAAAACTATTGAACCGATTTACATAAAATTTTGTATGTAGGTAGTCAGTAACCCGGGGCAACTTATAGGCTACTTATTATCCGATTACGGAACTTCAAAAAAGGAAGGTTAAGTATTTTATTTCCTTTAGATGTTAATTTTCTATTATATCTTAGTTATAGGCAGGATGACGGGTGTTTTTCAAATAAATACCATATTTGTAAATAAAGTTTAAAATATAGTTATAACCTTGGTAAAATAATTTGAAACTACACCGATTTGGTATTCAAAACAGCGCCTTGTATCATCAAATGGAAAAAGTAGTATATTTTGCCTTCAGTTACTATTAAATGAAATAATATAAATAACTTACATTTATATGATTAAATGATTAGATATTTAAAATTATTAAAAAAATCTAACGTTTAGTTTTTTTAGTATTTATGTTATTTTATTTTAAAAGTGTAATAATTTCAATAGATAATAGTGACGTCTATCAAAAATATGAAAATTGATAAAGTATTTATTTCATTTCAATTACTAATATAATGTAAAGTTATTAAAACTGGTCTGTCTGCAATTGTTGCAAAATTTTCATTATCATTATAGTTTTATTAAAGAAATTTTTATGTATGTCGTGGCCAGATCGTAGAATTGATCATATATCATAAAGTAGTCTATCATTTCGTGAAATGGTGTGGTCGTTTCATGATAAGTATTTAACACTATTTGTTAACCATGTCATGATATAGCTTGACCAAATCAATGAATAGAAATCATTTGAAGATATTAATAACTAAACACAACGTTGCTATTTCATAATATGGTCATATGACGATATAATTAAATCGTTTTTCATCGCTAGCGGCGCTGATAGCGTATTTTTTAACAGAAACAGAACTTTTAAGAGAATTGACATCACTTTATCCCTTATTGATATTTGATATAATAAATAAATGTTCGCTTCTATTGCTGATATTACTAGATGATATAGTTTTAACTTTCATTATTTCATCTAATATTAGCGCCACCTACTTACTTCTAAATAAACTAAAATGGCAAGTCATTGATAGAATGAAATAATACAATGCTACTGAATATATGAACGATGTAAATAATGGAATCATTAACATTACATTCATCTCGCGTTGAAATCAGCGCAGCGAACACTTTTTTGGCCAAAAACTCTGCGGCCTGTGCCCAGTAGTAACATGTACATAATATGTAAGCTGCTACTTTTTACTTTTCATGGGGCAATATATGCAGTTTTTATTTCATTCGTGTTTTCGGGTATGTTACTTTTTGTTTTCACTCTACCGTAAACATTAAGGCTTGCAAAGATGAGTAGAACTCATTATCGTCAGCCTATCAAAAGTACACTGAAATGAACATAGGCCTCCCCCAAAAACTGTCAAGTGGTTGGATATTTGCTATAGTTGCCACGCTTGGTAGGCGGGTTGGCAGCCGCAGCTATTATTATTTTGATCTGTTGTCAGGAAGATGATGCTGCCCATTTCCTGTTTGCTTTCCTATGTCACTTACGACGAGACGATATGAGGTGGTAGATTTTCTTTCACTGCCACAACAGGGCGAACATTTTTCTACTCCCGTTCATGAGTGCAGTGCTCCTCACGTTCACTGTGCATAAAATTTATAAGGAATAAAACTAATTTTAAGGATTTTATCGCGTTTAATTTTAACTTTTTAAATTCTCGATGTTTTGGGCACTTTACAGCACTCACCCAGGTCACGGGAGGGGCGGGAGAACTGAGGTGTTTGAAATAGAATAGAGTAAATGCAGTAGTAGTTTGAATTTAATTTTATTAATTATGGGGTCCTTAGCAGATAGTAGCACTCAGCCATCTTCCCTATTAAAATTAGGATATTTTTAATTTCAACAGCCTCGCGAATCGTCATTGGTAGGATTCAGTGTTCTAATGCAAGGATTTGTTGTCTATTAGATCCGATATAATGGTTGGGATGATACTAAACATGTTGACACACTTTAGACTTCCCGAAGCTTCAGTGCTTCACATTGACGATATGTTCTTTTACTCAGAACTTTCATCCAAGATGCGTAAAAAATTCCGTAACTTTAGTTTTAATCCATGTGTAGTATTCATTATTATAGAACTGTATTTATGAAATTTTCAAGTGTACTCGAAGTAAAAAAAATATCTACATCTATTTTATGGTGCCAATCAATATTAAATAGGACCAATGATATGAATAAAATGTTTCAAATAAACATTATATTACTTTGTTAAAACTAAATTAACTTTAACTATGAATAAATGTAAAGAGTAAAATGTAAATAATAATAATACATTTTGATTTCAAGACTATTTACGTTTCTTATGGATACATCGGAAGACACGCCTGATATAAAAAATAGTAGGTGTTTCTAGACATATATATTCACGTGTTTCTGTAGCATGTTACCAATCATCTACGTCTAATAGTATTTTAGAATGAAAAAAAAATCTTTGACAGATATAGAGACACAGACACCGAGGTGACTCTAAAAGTGATCGAATTTTTCTAAATTTGGCACGGAACAACATTTAATGATGTTCCTAAATTCAAGCGCACGCGAGCGAAGCTGCGGGTAAAAAGCTAGTATTACATAAAGAAACATTAACTTACATTTTTCTAACAAATTATATTCTCCGCTATGAAATCTGTCTAATGGTTCACCTCATTCCAAGGTGCGCCGTCCTGGTGGCAGAAAATGTCGTGGATGCCCAATTGCCCATCTCTTGTGCTCTTGTAATTGTTATCCCTGCAATAACTAGGAAGAAGTATTCAGTTCTTAATTCTTCATCGTTATATAAGACCAATCAAAGGCAATCGCCGTTGGTCTTATATAATGATGTTCGAGGCAATTCAACCATAGGGTAAACTTCCAAATATTGCCTGGCAGCTATCTTCTGCGCAGATTCTATAGTGATACATATACAAACATAACACATCCGCGAGGAGTTGGGGTGGGTCTAAAAGTAGTGAACTACTCAGACATCAAAGCCAAAGAAGATGGATACAGATGGAAAATTGTGAAAAAAGGACAGGTGTCTTGAATTTCGCCTACACAAACACAAACCCAACGTCCATCGTCATCTTTTACGACATGCTAGACAAGTAACACAGTTGGTACATTCTATTTTGTTGTAAGTCCCACATAAACATGAAACATGTGTTTCTTGTGTCATAATTCATAAGTTTATAATTCTTTACGTGGTAAAGCCATGCTGCAGCTTTATTATGGATGTAGTACGAATGAGTTGACTCGACCGGGAAGGAACACGCTTTCACAGAAAACTAGCGTAAAATAGCAGCTCAATGCTGCTGTGATTCGTATGGTGAGTGTAGATTAGTGTGGAGTGTGGACAACAAATACCCTTTTTACCGAAAACGAGGCATTCTACTTTATATAGTATATATAGCCTTATATAGTAATATATAGTCCTCAGGGGTGATAATGCATCTGCATTTTGATTCTTAATAGAGGATATATTATGTAGTTGTCTATGAGCCACAGAATTCATCCACTTACTTGGACTACACTTAGGTGAACTATGTGCTCGTTTGTCACCCTTACTCTTTAAAAAAACGCACATCGAATTTTTATTTTTAGATTTTAGATGTCATTTGTAAAACGCTGCTGCCCATCTTGTTTGCTTCCTTCTGTCGCTTCTAACGACATCCGTGGAACGATATGGGATAATACTGACACCTCCACCACGCGATATTCAATAGCGTAAGACGATATACCTACATAAAAGCTTTTGTTTTTACAGTTGGATAATACAAAAAGTCATTGCATTCTATGCAATGAGTTAGTCGAAAATGCCGATTTCCATGCACTTTACAACAAAAGACACGAAGCGTTATTGAAAAATGCCATCTTGTTATTTGAACAGGTGAATACAAGCCAAATAAAACTTGAAGCACAAAGTGATGTTAACAAACCAAATATTACCGCACTTGAAAGTACAAGTGAAGAACAAGAAGAAGATTGCGCTCGTAAAACTGCCGATAGTAATATAAATAACGCGCAGTTAGCGCTTGAAAAGAACAAGGGTGTTGGACTATTGGATGTATTGGATTTCACTAGTAAAACGGCCGATAGTAATATAAATAACGCGCAGTTAGCGCTTGAAAAGAACGAGGGTGTTGTACTATTGGATGTATTGGATTTCACTAGTAAAACTGACAGACCTAAATCTGAAAAATTTTTTTGCAGTGACTGCCATGTTATACTTCACAAAAGAGATTTTCGTGCACATATATTTAAACATAAAAAACTAAAATCACATAACGACCCTTGCGTAGTATATAGATATGATATAGGGAAAAATAGCGGAACACGTTTTAGCCGCGAAACTAATAATAATAATAATAATAATAATAAAAAGGAAAAAAAAATTAAGTGACAAGTCATTTGTGTGAAATTAGCGACGTTCAATTGACTAATAATGCCACAGACATTAACAAGCATTACGATTTAAGGCAAATGTTTTGGATGTCGATCTAGTGCAAATGGTTTTATCCATTGAGTTATATGTACTACGTACTAGAGAAGCCATTCCAAACAAAAATTGTGTCCTACTCTATGTATTCGCGCATGCGCGGGAGTAGTAGTCGCGCATGCGCGAATACTTCCATTTGATATAAAATAAGATATTAATATAAAATAAATATAAGAATTTAATATAAAATATCTTAATTTAATCTAAACAAACATCTGAATAAAATGTAATTATTATTATTTTATGGAATTCACAAATCTTCAATTTACGCAATATTTAGTTTGTACGGATTGCACTACAGTTCAGTTGAACATAGTCAATGTTCGGAATGGCTTCTCTAGTACGTAGTACATATAACTCAATGGTTTTATCAAACCCCAAATCAAAGATGTCAAGAGGGTTATTCCGGCTTGCTTATAGGACGGAATAATTATCTTCTCTATCTATTATAAGTTGTCATTTTTGAGTTAGTAATTTAACTATAGTAATCTCAATTATACATTTTTATTTTGTTAGTGTTAGCAGTAATTAGTATAAGGTATGATGGGATTGGCATGTCATTTTGACAAAAATCCCAAAAAAGTTAAAGAAAAAAAAAAAGCTTTACGATGGTTTGCAGCATAAGAACAATTTAAAACAATTAGAGGTAAATAACATAGAAATAAAAGAAGCTGAAATTAAACAGAAGTGGTGTTCTTCGCTTGCAAATCTGCCTAGGAACATATTCGTACGTGTCGCAGCATTTTTGATTTTATCGGTATCTGGAATTTAGCAGTTACGTTTAATACAATCACGCAATAAGAATACAAGTGAGCAATACAAATTGCGGGACAAATATTAAAATACTTCGTGCTTGGAATTTATTGCGATTGGATTTTATGGGTTTTATTTTTTTGCGCGGTACCCTAATTCCTTTTCTAAAATAAAACTAAGCCTAAGTTACTCCTTATAACATTAGCTATCTGCGAGTGAATGTCCCGTCAAAATCGGTCTAGCCGTTTCTGACAGACAGACCGAAATTTTTTTTAAAAATTATGTTTTTTTCATAAGTACCGTAATACTTCCATATGCATTTAGTTAAAAGCTGTTATTTTGACATTACAAACAGACACTTCTAATTATTTGTATAGATAGTTGACAATGTGCGCAAATGTATACAAATAAATAAAATTGAAGTGTTTGTTTGTAATGTCAAAATAACAGTTTTTTACTAAATGTTTAAAACAAAAAAAATTGTCCGTCTGTCTGTTTGTTCCGGCTAATCTCTGAAATTGCTGAACTAATTTAGGCAACTTTAATTTTAAAAAAGTATTAAGATTTCGCGTAAAAAGATATCCAATCGTAATAAATCAAACGCGGATAAAATCGCGGGGAACAACTAATAAATAATAACAGCGTTTTCTCTTAGCCATCATATCAAACAAAATCAATGTTCTTCTTTTTTTTTTAAACGCGTTGTTTTTTTTTTTAATGTTCAATTGTCGGAAAAGTTTGCGGTTTACAAAACAAACTTAACTTGCCAGCTCGCAGTCGACTAAAAAAGTTACGAAGAATTGACGATAGCTTAGCGCGCAAAGTATTACTACATAAAAACTTTTGATCATAACCAATTAGCGAATTAGCATGGCTGCTATTAATTGGGCTTGTCTTAATCTCTATTTCTTTAATGCTAATAATCTATTTTAGAAACTCAGTACGACTGACATTTACTTTTTTGCAAAACAGGACATGATATTTAGTTCTATGTTTTTAGTTTACGGGTGCGATTAATGTATCTATAGTTGAAAAATAAATGTTATTATTATAACTATAGTGTTAAAGTAAATTTTGGTTTAAGTGTGTCACAGACTCAAATTATTTTTAGTAGACTATTCATATTTTTGTTGTAATGAACCAAATTTTTATAAAATTTTCTTTTACTCTGCTCCTTATTTTGTTCCCAAAGGAAAAACATAACTTAATAAGTTCAAAGATCTAAAAATAATAAATTTATTTATAGATAACAGTTTTAGAAGAAGGTGCTCAGACATAGTGCGTGTATAAGAATCAAAGCGTCGACTTAAAAAGCTTCGTGTGGAAGTTATTTTATTATTTTTAGTTATTTGAAGTTGATTTTTACTTTTCATTTTTATTAAAAGTTTAATTTTTTGAACTAGGGTTTGCCGCCTTTTTTTTTCGAACAAATAGTATATTTTCCAAAAAAGTTGTAAAAATATAGTACCTACTTTTAGGAAATTACACAACTATTTTTAATATTTATGATTTTCCCATATATATATATATATTTATATATACAGGGTTATTTTGCACTAACCGGCCAAATTTGCAGAGAAGGTTCAGAATAAATGATATAGGCAAATGGTGAAGAAAACCTAATTAAAATAATCTCAAACATTGAAAAACACAACTGTTCTTTTTATCTTTTAAATTCAAAATGCGTGGTAATGCATTATTTTAACTGATTTTACTGCGCACGCACACATTTGTAAGGGTCGATCGGTAGACAAAAATGTTGTTGCCCATAAATCGCAGTCAATTTAGGATAATTCCAAATAAAAATAGAAGCCTTATTTATTCGTATTTTTAAAAACTGCACTAACGGTATTTCATTATTTATATATTTGAACTTAAGTTTAAAATTTGGCTACTCTTTGAAAAATAACCCTGTAGTTGTTATTACTCTTCGTTTTGGCCATACTCTATTTCGTTCTTCTTTCCATTTTACATTCACGACGGAAACATTCTTTCCGTAAAATTTACTTGTTCCAGACTTCCAGTCACAGTTAATATAAAAAAGCGCGACAGTTGAGTTAGAGATAAAATATAGTATTTTTTACTTATTAATGACTGATAGCATTACTACTGAGTACTTTGTTTAAATCTGGAACCCCAGTGATCGCCTCTAAGGAAATATTTGCCATAGTTGTCACCACAGAGTACCTTTGTATAAAGTTGTCACGCTTGACGGAAGGGTTGGCAACCGCAGATTTTTTTTAATTAGTTTTAACTGTTATCAAAACGATGCTGCTGCCCGTCTCTTTCATTTCCCTCTGTCGCCTCTTACGACACCTACAGGATGATATTTGGAACTTATATAAACACCTACGTGGTAGAGCCATGCTGCAGCTATATTATGGTTGTAGCACGAATGGGTCGGCTCGACCGGGGAAGGACCACGCTCTCACAGAATACCAGCGTAAAATAGCAGCTTAACGCTGCTGTGTTTCGTATGGTGAGTGTAGAGAACCGGAGACCCTTTTTACTGGCAAAGAGGCATTCCATCTTAGTCCTCACGGGTGACAACGCATCTGCATCTTGAGTCTTTATTGAGGATAGATGTAGATGTCTACGGGTCACAGTAACCACTTACCATCAGGTGGACTGTGTGCTCATTTGTCACCCGATCCTATAAAAAAAAACTCATTTTATAACGAATACACGTGGTTGAGCCACGCTACAGTTAAATATAATGATTGTAACACGAATTGGTCGGCTCGACCGGGGAAGGACAACGCTGTTACAGAATACCAGTGTGAAATAGCAGCTGCTGCTGTGTTTCGTATAGTGGGTGTAGAGAACCGGAGACCTATTTTACTGGAAACGAGGCATTCCATCTTAATCCTTACGGGTGACGACGCATTCTCATATTGATTCTTAATCAAAGACAGATGTAGATGTAAATAGACCACAGCGTCTACTTATCCTCAAGTGAACTGAGTGCTCGTTTGTCAGCTGTTTAGTGATCGCAAGGGTGAAGACGGCGATCAGCGGATGATGAGAGGCGCACTGAACCTTGCCCCGACAACCTTTAGCTCTAATTACATAATTATTTTAAATAGTTACCTACCTAGATTGTAATACAGTGGACGATATAAATGATGAGCTAGTGAAAACTAAGCCCGAGCTAAGTTCTCTTTCGCGGAAGAACTCGGACTCTGATTAAACGGATAATTGTTAGACGTGAAATGAAGCTGCATTTTTCAACAAATATGACAGCATAGAGGCAAGTGAACAGACATTTCTCTAAACCTCTAAATACGCTCGTATTGAAGAAGCGATAGAGCGGAACCAAGTCTCCGATGTCCGCCAGAGGTCTGTCTGCAGAAAAGAGTCAAATGTCGAAGTTAGGGGTGTATTCCGCTTCATAAATAACCGGTGAAAAACCGTATCATGTGAGGACCGCTTATTCATCGGTAATTTAACAATAACGCCGTGCTGCACATTTCTTCAGCAAGCTTTATAATAATAATAATAATATTTCACAACTATCACACAACGCCATCTAGTCCCAAGCTAAGCAGAGCTTGTGTTATGGGTACTAGACAACTGATAAACATACTTATATATTTCTAAATACATAAATATTATAGATAAATTACACCCAGACACAGAACAAATGATCGTGCTCATCACACAAACATTTGTCCTGGGTGGGAATCGAACCCACGACCTCCGGCGTAGCAGTCAGGGTCACTAACCACTAGACCAACAGGCCAGTCAAAGTCTTTGGCAAAGTCGTCAAAAATACAACGAGAGATCTCTATAATGCCACCGTTTGCTTCGGCCATCATATTCTAAAAAAATATAAAATCAAGTTACAAAAATGATTAACCCAAAAAACTTCGTGGAGTACTTTTTAGGTTTTTTTTTTATAGGATAGAGTAACAAACGAGCAAACAGTCCACTTGATGGTAAGTGGTTGCTGCGGTCCATAGACATCTACATTTATCCGCTATATAGAATCAAAATGCAGATGCGTCGTCACCCGTGAGGGCTAAGATGGAATGCCTCGTTTGCAGTAAAAAGGGTCTCCGGTTCTCTACACTCACCATACGAAACACAGCAGCGTTAAGCTGCTATTTTACGCTGGTATTCTGTGAGAGCGTGGTCCTTCCCCGGTCGAGCCGACCCATTCGTGCTACAACTATACTATTAATATAGCTGCAGCATGGCTCTACCACGTAAGCATGAAAACAAGCCACTTCTGTATCCTTAGAGGTTAGACATACGATATTCTTTTATAAAACAAACGCATACGGGTCAACTGATAGTTAGTAATCATCACCGTCCATGTACATTAAAAACGGCTATTTAGAAAGGTGTACGCTTTCTCCAAATTCTACGATGTGGTCTTGCGTGATAAATTCCTGTTAAAATGCACGGTAGTGAACTGCCAACCATCGAGTATGAAATTAAAAATTCTGTCGCAATCTACGAATCAATCAGAACAATTAATTGGAACGCTTCCTGTAGTATACGCGATAGAAAATACAGGTATAGATCAACCGATAGGAAAGAACTTGGTCGTGGATAATTCCAACCGCTCTCCGTAGATTGCACTGAAAAGGCATGTGTTGGAACTGGGGCGCCTCAGTGGTGCTGGAATCCCAGGACTTAGTCTAATCCAGTTTAATCCTCAGAAGAGACAGGTTTGTGTGTATAGTGCTGCGAAAAACCCTTTGACATATTATCTTCTATTCTTTTGAGGGTACTTATTACCTTAGCTAGTACGGAAATCTGTATACATTTCTGCAGTCACTTGGAAGTTAGGGTCAAATGAGCTTCTAAAAAGATCTCATCTCAAGATAAAACAAGGCCTTTCGTTGGCTCGTCTATGTGCTGTTTTGATGAGAGTCGAACGAATCTCCTAACAAACTGGTTTCCGAAAAAGCTTAAGTACCATAAGAGTACAATCTGTTATTATGTATTGCATATGTGGAAAGCCTTTGATTCCGTCGAAAATTGGGTGGCGATGCTAGTCCCTTTAGCAGTACCAAGGTGACTGTTGGTTGGTATATCGAAGTCGATTAATATTAAACGAAGCATTCCTTGGGGGAGACCTATGTTCAGCAGTGGACTTGTGAAGGGCTGTAATGATGTATTAAAACAAAACTTTGTTTTACATTATTTATATTTATTTTAATTTTTTAAGTATTTTCATTTGCATCTTTCTTTTCTATTGATGTCATTTCTTTGGTGTGAATACGCTGATGGCCTTTTAGTATTTGCGCCGTCTGAAAAAAAAAAGTAAATCTGTCTAATTTCAAATATTAAAATTAATGTTATTTCTAAACAAACACCCTCAGCTGGGTAGCGGGCAAGAGAAAGCTGCCCACGATCAGGGGATATTTTTTATTCCCGACGTTTCGAGTACTTTACAGCGCCCCTTGTCCTCGATTAATATACGCGACAAAATCCGTTAAATTTATTTTTAATATACAATAGAATAAGGGTGTCAAACGAGCATACAATCCACCTGATGGTAAATGGTTGCTGTGGCCCATAGACATCTACATCTATCTTCGATTACGAATCAAAACGCAGATGCGTTGCCACCCGTGAGGACTAAGATGGAATGCCTCGTTTCCAGTAAAAAGGGTCTCTGGTTCTCTACACTCACCATACGAAACACAGCAGCATTAAGCTGCTATTTTATGCTGATATTCTGTGAGAGCGTGGTCCCTCTCATGTCGAGCCGACCCATTCGTGCTACAATCATAATATATCTGCAGCATGGTAGAGATGTAAAAAACGTTTTGACAAGACTTTAGTCCAGACCGAAATAACAATAGTTTTGTTTTTATAGGATAAGGGTGACGAGCACACAGTCCACCTGATGGTAAGTGGTTGCTGTAGCTCATAGACATCTACATTTATCCTCGATTACAAATCAAAATGCAGATGCGTTGTCATCCGTAAGGACTAAGACGGATTGCCTCTTTTCCAGGAAAAAGGGTCTCCGGTTCTCTACACTCACCATACGAAACACAGCAGTGTTAAACGGCTATTTTACATTGGTATTCTGTGAGAGCGTGGTCCTTCCCCGGTCGAGCCGACCCGTTCGTGGTACAACTATACGAGAAATATAGCTGCAGCATGGCTCTATCACGTATAAATAGTCTTCTTAAGGCTCAAATAAACATCTATTTTATATAAGAAAGGGTTCACCTGATGTTTAATGATTACCACCGCTCATGAACAACTGCAACACCAGGGGAATTGCAGGTGCGTTGCCGGCCTTTTAGAAAGATGTAAGCTCTTTTCTTGAAGGTCCCTAAGTTGTATCGGTCCGGAAAAATACCGTTGGTGGTATAGTCGATTCCACAAGGCAGTTGTGCGAGGAAGAAAACTTCTTGTAAATCGCACAGTGGTGGACCGCCAATTATACAGATGGTATGGATGGTATCGCGAGCTTTGTCGCGATGTGCGATGGTGAAATTCAGTGACTGGAATTAGTGGTATGGTACGGTAGAAAATGCAAAGGGATGCAACATTTCTTCGCAGCGCCAGTGAGTCAAGCCTATTAGAGAGGGCTCGGTTGCTGACGATTCGAACCGCTCTGCGCTGGATACGATAAAGTGGAAGGAGCTGGCCCTGTGGAGCTCCGGCCCAGAGATGAGAACAGTATTCTATGTAAGGACGAACTTGTGCCTTATAAAGTCGCAGCAGTGTGGCATGAAATACTATCCCTACTCTACAAAGCACGCAAAGCTATTAGAAATTCAATTTGGGCTTTCCTTCCAAATGGCCGCGGAACTGAACGTCATTCGATATGTTTACACTGAGGATTTCAGTTGTTTCAGGATTATCACAAGTTCAAACACACAACTAGAATTTGGTCTAAATAGTATTAAAACCTTCACCCCCCTATTTATCCACCTTGTGTAATTTTTTTCTTAAAATGTATATGGGATCCACTTCTGAAGAATAATAAATTAAAAACATTTTAAGGATTTAACACTAAAATTGAATTAAGTAGGGTAACGAACTCTGCCGCGCTCATTGAGTTATATGTACTACGTACTAGAGATGCTATTCCAAACAATAATTGTGCGCTACTCTATGTCTTCGCACATGTGCGGGAGATAGTGGAGTCGCGCATGCGCGAAGACTTTAATATAAAATAAATATAAGAATTTAATATAAAATACTCTTATTTTAATCTAAACAAACATATTTCTAAATAAAATGTAATAATAATTATCTAATGGAATTCGCAAATCTTCAATTTACGCAATATTTAGTTTAGTGTACGGATTGCAGTACAGTTCAGTTGAACAAAGTCAATGTTCGGAATGCGAAATCTAGTTCGTAGTACATATATATCGATACCCGCGCTTTAAAGCAATTTTACAAATGAGATGCGCCTAGTGATTAACTGTGTGACATATATAAGGAAACTTACCTTAAAGCTTACACCGCAAATCTCGCAAACGAAATCCTTCTTCACAACAGCAGCAGTATGCCGTGTCCTCTCATGCGAACGAAGCGCGCGCTGGCTGCAGTAGCGGCGCGGGCAGCGCGCGCACTGCAGCCGGTTGCGTTGCAAGTGAACACGCTCGTGGTGTTCGTCGCGCTCCTTGCAGCGGACAAAGCGCTTGGCGCAAACTTGGCATGAGAAACTGTAAAAAAATTGTTACGAGAGTACAGTTAGCGGGCACGAGTTTAGAGCACAGATTGGCAATAGTTGGGGTATGTTTGCAAATACACTTCGTAGCATATCTACAGCAAACGAATCTGTTTTATTTTAAAAATATTACTTCTACACTAAAATCCGTATTAATAAACGTTACTTAGCTCAAGTACACGCACTTGAGTACAATCTTGAGGTTATGATCTTATTAATAAAAATATCTCAAGCTGTAATTTAGGTTTACGATATCAGCTGAGTGCCACACTAATAAACGAAACTCGACTTTCAAGTGTGTGTACTTGAGTGCAAGTCACAGAACAATATTACACTAAGTACAGCATTTTGAGATAATGGTTTTATTTGTTTATTGATTAGCAACAATCTTGAGATGCTGATATCGTAATGATAAATAATTGAGTTCACCGTTGAGTAACGTTTATTAATAAGAGCCTAGGATTTTCTCCTGTATCGTGAGGGCAATTTACGTACATAAATTTCAAAAGGATAAACATCCAGTGACACGTGAATATCCAATAGACCAGATGTTTTCAGTGTGAGGTCCATGAGAGTGCACAGGCCCGCGTGACGTCACTGTGATAAGGTGCATGGGGTAGAAATAAGGACTAATTGATTTCATTACTCTATATTCTTTCTGAACAGAGACTCGTCATCTGCGCAGGACACGATTATAGTGGACGTGAGTGTACGCAAGCACAGGTGCACTCTCTATTCCCTCACTTATCGTACGGATGGAATGGTAATCCGACACGACCGGAGAGAAATCGGGCGTAAGCGGTGTAACACTGCCAACTTCATCACTCCGGACTACTACTGATAACTTCTTGACGGATAAACTCAATTAAATTCTTGACAAAAGCCATCGCGTTTACGACCACTAAACCAACGAGACAGTCAAAAATAAAATTATAAATTGAATAAAACTATTTTTACGAATTTTATCGCGTTTAATTTTCTTATTTTTAATTTCCGACGTTTCGGGTGCTGTGCATCACCCATGGAGGGGCCTGAGATATTTGAAGACCCCGATGTCATAGTTAGCCCGGCTACTTTCAGTTTTTGAATATAGATTTAAATTAAAAATTTCAAACTAGATAAGGCCCATATTTTTTTTTAATATGACCGGGTGCAACGAGCATGTGACTCACGTGATGGTAAGTGACTACCGCTTTCCATGAACCACTGTAACACGAAGGGAATTGCAGGTGCGTTGCCGGCCTTTTAAAAAAAAGTAGGCTCTTTTCTTGAAGTTCCTCACCTCAAGTCGTATATAGCTGGGTTCAGGCCTCCTTTCATTTTAGAGAGGGTTTCGGAGCAATTAGTGCTCTGTGCTGCTCTAGTGCGTGTTGACGGACTTCACATGTCCTTGAAATACTTAAATCCTCAGAAATCATTGATCACTAATAAAAAACTATATACACAATCCCATGCAAAAGTTCTCTAAAACTGTCGCCAATTGTTTTGACGTAATTCTAGTTGAAATAAATATACATTAATGTAAATTCAGCCTTAAGACGGCTCCGTGGCGCAGTGGCTTAGCAATCAGTGGTTGCGCTGGGGGCCGCGGGTTCGAATCCCGCACGGAACAAGTGTTTGTATGGCCTACAAATAATTGTTCCGGGTCTGGATGTTTGTCCTTGTGCAATTTATGTTTGTAAACTGCCTCCACGACACAGGAGAAAATCCTAGTGTGGGGGTAACGTTTTTTAAAAAAATAACCAAATTGCATTGCCTGAAGTTGTATTCACAAAGCTATGTACAAATTAAGAGCGCACCCAAATGTTCGAGTGGGCGCTCATTCGGTAAGGACATTTTTTGTCAAATTTTATGAAAATTTTATGTCAAAAATGCATGTTTCCACACAACGTTTTCCTTCACTGTTGTGCAAGTGGTAAATCAGCACTTAAAATTGCAATTAACAATTTCATTGGTGCCGACTGGAGTCGAACCTGGGTTGCTGATTGGTTGGTACTTAAACACATGAACTTGTCTCCATCTCTACTAATTTCAAATAAAATAAACTCACCGCAGAGATTCCGGATTTATATGGCGGATGGATGTTCGAAGATGTTTCCGGTAGCTGCAACTTGTTTTGAAGAATTTCGCACACGGCTTGCAGTAATGTCTGAAACTGACACAAGTGGTAAAATTAATATTTTTGTACAACCGACTTCAATATAAATGAAATCATCAATGTAGTCAGTCAATTAAATACGCAATATTAAGGATAACTCAAAAACTACTCTCAGGTCAGATCTTGATCAACATTGATATATGGAACCACATGAGAAGCACCAGCTTTTAAATAAAAAAGAATCATCGAAATCGGTTCACCTAGAAAAAAAGTTCAACATAAAAAAGTACAGTCGATTTGAGTACCTCCTCCTTTTTTTGAAGCCGGTTAAAAATTGAGATTATTATGTGTTTATCCTTCTGGTGGCGGCGTAGAAGAATCCGGCAACCTATTCGTCCAATGAGTGTCGTAACAGGCAAATTTTCATGCCAGAAAAATAAAAAAAATGGCTTCCGATAGAGATATAACCATCATTACTCTAGGATTAAAAAACGGCGCTCTCAGGTTGAGAAATCATAGCCCGTATGGGGCAACTATAGAAAATCCCGGTAACACTTATATGGGAGACTTATATCAAAGATGTCTACCAAGGAAAGCATCGAATGATATCCTCAGCGTATGAGAAATCATCACATCATTGCTGCTAACGGTCTTCTAAAATTATTCTTAGAAAATAATAAGAAAACTTTACAAAATTGTTTATCATTTATATATGTCGCAGTAAGATAGTTAAGGGATACTCATCCCAATTTACCTGTCCGGTAGTTGTGGTATGGTATACGGGTATGCGACCCCGGCTTCCCTAGCTATTACTGTCCTATCCCGTGCCCTCCTGGACGGTAATATCCTACATTTCCTATTTCCTACCCTAACTTACCTTACTCTTCCTTTTCACACCACCTATCCTTCCCCTTTTCCTATTCCTACCCTCCGCCAATGCAACGTCTGCCGCGCGGATGGATGCATGGCTAGGGGCGAGCCTAGTCGTTAGCGTGCCACACTGCCCTGGGACCGGGCGACCCCAGAATTAGGCTAGCCTTACCCTGGCATGCGGGGCTCTGCTGGGGGGAACAAACCTTTCCCTCGCTATTCGTGGGAACGCAATGGATAATCATAAAAATAATTTAATTAACCAAAATGGCGGCGATGTGGTTCGCCACCCATCACGTCTCGTTTCTCGCGGGGGCGAAAAGCGGGCCACGGAGAGCCGCTTCGCTACGTTGAATGTAAGAGGAGGAATGGATGGTAAGGTAGATGAAGTATGTCAGATGATGGATGAACGTTGCATTGATATTCTGTGCGTGAACGAAACCAAGAGGAAAGGATGTGACACCACGGTTCATGGCCCCTACACGGCATACTGGTCGGGAGTCCCCCAAACCAGCCGAGGCTGTCAGGGAGTTGGTGTGATTCTTTCATCTCGAATGGTTGAATGTGTGATGGAGCATGAATGTATAAGCCCAAGACTCCTCTGGATTAGGTTAAAAGTCGGACTCACTCGCTTGTTTATCCTTGGGGTCTATGCACCGACGGATCTGCGTGGAGGTGGGTCATTAAAAACACAACAAGAGAGAGAGGAATTTTGGGATAGCATGAGAGAGGTCTTGAATAAATGCGGAGAAAATGAACGGATCGTGATGTTAGGGGACTTTAATGGATGGGTTGGAGTAAAGCGTGATGGGTATGAAGGAGTTCTGGGTACGTTTGGGGACGAGAGAGTGAATGACAATGGGAGAAGCCTGCTTGAAGTATGCTTGGAATGGAATCTGTGCGTGGCCAACACAATGTTTGACCACAAAAAGATCCATTTGTATACAAGAGATGAGGGTGAGTCTAGAAGTATGATTGATTTTGTAATTGTGGATGAAAGACTGAGGAAGAAAGTACTAGACACTCGGGCATACCGCGGTGTAGGCATCGCTACAGACCTCTTCCTGGTCATAGCCCGAATGCGTGGCCTCTTTAAACGGTGACGACACCGAGTGGCCGAGCCTACGAGTGTTTTGGCCAGAGTAAAAGTGGAAAATCTACAAGAAAAAGAAAAGAAAGACGAGTATGTAGAGAAACTGAAAGAAAGTTTTAAAGGGATAGAAGAGATAGGAGTGATTGAAGATTTGTGGGAGACATTTAAGGAAGGGGTCGTAAATGTTGCTACTGAGGTATGCGGGGTAGCTAAAAGAAGGAAAGGAAGAAAGAATGATAACGTGTGGATGGATAAAGATGTACAAAAGGTTGTGCAAGAAAAGAAGAAAGCGTGGTTGGATTGGTTAGCAAAAGCTAACCAAAAAGTTCAAAAGGCAACGGATGACGAGATAAAGGAAGCAAGAACGAAGTATAAAAGATTGAAAACAGCAGCGAAAGAAATTGTGTCTAGAAAGATTTCCAGTCAAACATTAAGTTTTTCTGGAAAACCATCAAAGCAGCCAGAGGAAAAACTTCTACCTCGGAGCTGAGTACAATCAGGAGTCAAGATGGGAGCATTATAAAAGGAGAAGAATGTGTGTTAAAGAGATGGAAAGAGTATTTTGAAAGTTTGTTTGAAAGAGAGGAAGTGCAGGTACAGCATCTGCCACCTTCCACGGAAACTAATATAAATGTTGATGAAAATGAGATAAGCATGGATGAAATAGTGAAAGCGTTGAAAAGTATGAGATTAGGTAAGGCTGCAGGGTATGACAGGATTACCGTCGAGATGCTGAGGGCTGGACAGGGCCTGGTGGCTAGTCAGCTGTACCGCCTTTTCAATCTGTGCTGGCGAAATGGGCAAGTACCGGGAGACTGGTGCAAAGCCGTAATCGTGCCATTGTATAAGGGAAAAGGGTCACGGCAGGACTGCATAAATTACCGCGGTATAAGCCTTCTCAGCGTCGTCGGTAAATTGTATGCGAAAGTGTTGATTGAAAGGATTGTGAATGAAACAGACAAGAAAGTATGGGATGCACAAGCGGGATTTAGAAAGGGAATGGGATGTACGGATCAGGTCTTTTCCTTGCGGTGCATAGCCGAAAAGTATTTGGCTAAAAACAAGAAAGTCTACTGCGCGTTCGTAGATCTAGAAAAGGCCTATGATAGAGTGGTGAGGAATGAATTGTGGTCAGCACTGTCCGTGAACGGTGTGAGCAGTATCCTCATACGAGCAATGCAATCTCTTTATAGGGATTCTAGTGCTTGTGTAAGGATAAACGGGGCATACACTGAATGGTTTAATATCGAAAAAGGTGTTAGACAGGGATGTGTAGCGTCACCGTGGCTGTTTAATCTGTTCATGGACAATTGTTTGACAGATTTAAAAGAGAATGATAGTGGGTTGAGAATGAATGAGTTACTCGTCAAATGTTTTCTCTATGCTGATGACCAAGTATTACTTGCGTCTTCGGCCGAGGAGTTGCAGGAGATGGTAACTGCTATGAGTGGAGCTTTTGTTAGAAAGGGAATGAAGATGAATGTAAGGAAGACGAAAGTGATGGTGTTTGAAAAAGATGAGGTAGTGACAGACTGCAACATTGTGATTGAAGATGAACAAATTGAACAGGTGAAAGAGTTTGTGTATCTGGGTTCAAAGTTTACAAGAGATGGAAAGTGTGAGAGTGATATCGAAAGAAGAGTGAATGCAGGAAACATGGTGAATGGAGCTTTGCACTCCTTTATGAGCAGTCGGAAGGTGTCTAACAAGGCTCGTTTGGCTGTGCATGAGGGGGTGTTGGTTCCGACACTCATGTACGGAAGTGAAACTTGGGTTTGGCAGAAGAAACATGAAAGCAGAATAAATGCAGTTGAGATGAGAGCATTAAGAAGTATGATAGGAGTTAAACTAAGTGACAGGCTAAGAAATAGTGAGATAAGGAAACGTTGTGGTCTGAAAGAAGATGTAGTGACAAAAATTGAGAAAGGTATGCTGAGATGGTTTGGCCATGTCGAGAGAATGAATGAAGAACGATTGACGAAAAAAGTGTATAAGGCGAGTGTGAATGAAAGTGTTGGAAGGGGTAGACCTAGGCGGACATTTCTAGACCAAATCAGGGACGTCTTGAAAAAAGGCCAGGTCAAGAGTACCCTAAACCGTAGAGCATGTATGAAGGGAATAATGAAAGTGGACGAAGCAAAACAAGTATGCAAGGATCGTAGCAAGTGGAAAGAACTGGTCTCTGCCTACCCCCACGGGAAAGAGGCGTGATTATATGTATGTATGTATGTAAGATAGTTAAGGCCGTGATATAGTTATATCCTTAGGGATGTAGCTATATACCGTAATATAGTTATATGAAAGCGGTTCATAACTATTTTACTAGCCTAATCTAGTGAAATAATTATAATTGTAAACTGAATGTACAGGCGGAACAAATTTCGCAACATTGACGTTCCTGTGGTATTGTTGTTCGTGTTCCTTTTTTGACAGTAGGTTAAGGTTTTACTTGGTAGAGCCATGCTGCAGCTATATTAGTAGTATAGTTGTAGCACGAATGGGTCGGTTCGACCGGGGAAGGACCACGCTCTCACAGAATACCAGCGTAAAATAGCAGCTTGATACTGCTGTGTTTCGTATGGTGAGTGTAGAGAACCGGAGACCCTTTTTACTGGAAAAGAGGCATTCCATCTTAGTGCTCACGTGTGACAACGCATCTGCATTTTGATTCGCAAACGAGTATAGATGTAGATGTTTATGGGCCGCAGCAACCACTTACCATCAGGTGGATTGTGTGCTCGTTTGTCACCCTATCATATGAAAAAAGTGCGGCTGGGGTGGCTCTTGGGGCAGCCTAAAGCCGCGTACATTATAAAGATATAAAATGTAATATTAAAAGAATTATACTTTTTAATTTCAATAATTCAAAAAGTGTAAGTCAAAAGAAGTTTTGACTATTAAATTACAAACAAGCTACAATTATAATTATTTCACATAGTTACATCCCTAGGGATATAACTATATCACAGCCTTAACTATATTACTAGGACATATATTATATGTTGCTCGTTTGCTTATTATTCTATAAAAAAAATTATATGACAAAATCTTTAATATCCTGCGGGAGACTGCCAGTATCTTGGGTGCAAAATATTTTGTTTTTTATTTAAATGTAGGGATTATAGCATGTCTCATAATTTGTAAGAGGTCTGTATCTTGAGTTATTGTTATTAATAATTAATAGTATATAAAAGCTTTTACAAAAATTTACTTCGCAAATATCCGCGTTATAAAATAAAATGATGTGTCTTACCTAGTATGAAGAGCACCTCCCGCCCTCCCTCAATTGCGTGCACTATCCCCGTCACCACTAATCCCAGCACCACTACTCCCAACACCACTACACTAGGCAAGACACACCACTGACGATAATACGACACGTGTTTCGCCTCTAAACGAGGCATCCTCAGGTGATATAGACTCTACGGTGGCTAACCGCTAAAAAGCTAAAAGCAAAAGCTGTAAAAGCTTTTATATAATGGATTTCCGCAAAGTAACGCCTGATTCTATTAATTAAATTAATAGTATGTTAAAAAAGTAATACTAATTTAAAAATAAGCATGCAGATGCCGAGGCAGTAGCAGCTTCCTTATAATAAACTTTTTTACTGGAATTGAGACATTCTATCTTAGTCCTCAGGGGTGACAACGCATCTGCATTTTGATTCTTAGTCGATAGCCACAGCATCCACTTACTGAACTGAACTGCGTGCTTGTTTGTCACCCTTATAGAAAGACCTAAAAATGCTTTTCAATGGATTTTTGATAGGCTGTAGCAAAATAAAGTTATCGAAAAATTCTTTATTTACCACACAAGTTAAAATTTTATTTGTCAAAAGTAAAAAAAAGGAAATTTTACTACTGTTTCCAAATTATATGTGTCCGGAGAAGAAACGGCAAAAGCAACCCTGCAGGTATCCTCTAATTTCTTAAAATAAATAACTTAAATATTAAAATATAAAATCTAATATTAAGTAACATCGTACATTTATTTATATTATTGGCATAAACATCTCATTTCTCAGTTTTGGAATAGGAAAGAGGAATATGTTACAAGCAAACTATGAAAAACTGAAAAATGTTGAATAGTGATAGCATATTTTCTTTTTTCTTTCTTACCCATCATCACTTTGAGGATGTGCAGTGTGCACGACACTGCGGTGTGCTGTAAGGGCACTCCGGCTTGAAAAATCTCGACTACAAATCGAGCATTGAACCCTCCCGCGATGCTTTTGCCTGTGATACTCATATTTGCCTCTGCTTCTAGTTAAATACATTAAATTTTTAATGATATTGTGTTGTGATTAATATAGGTCAGATCTTAAAATAATATGAAAGTTGTGTATCGCTAGCAACGCAAAGTCGTTGTATCGGGTTTCGATAATCGATCTGCAGCACTTAATTAGCACCTAATTCCTTGCTATTAATATTTATCGTATATTTAATAACTTCATTGCGTTGCTAGCGAGACGTTTTGCTAGCAACGCAAATTTCAACAGTTCTTTGCGGTGAAAATATTGGAGCAACTAATTTTTAAACTTGGTACTTAATTAGCACCTAAAAAGCCCCTAATTTGGACTTTTTCTGAAAGCAATTTTGATTCTATTTTGATTTTCAGGAAATCAGAATTTTGCATGTGCTATGTTCTGAATAACGACTTTATTTTTATTAGGGGCGCCTTGTTATTGCGTATACTTGCAGCACCTAATTAGCACTTAATTCCTTGCTATTAATATTTATCGTATATCTAATAAATTCATTGCGTTGCTAGCGAGACGTTTTGCTAGCAACACAAATTTCAACAGTTCGTTGCGGTGAAAATTTTAGAGCACCTAATTTTTAAATCTGGCACCTAATTAGCACCTAAAAAGCCCCTAATTTTGAATTTTTCCAAATGCAAATTCCCGACTTTGCGTTGCTAGCGATACACAACTTAATATGAAGCCATTACTTTCTCATTGGTAGTAATGCCTTCATATAGTTTTGTAATTTCCTTCTGTTTTATTTAATCTGACTCAAAGGACCAATAACATTCTATACGTGGTAGAGCCATGCTGCAGCTATATTAGTAGTATAGTTGTAGCACGAATGGGTCGGCTCGACCGGGGAAGGACCACGCTCTCACAGAATACCAGCGTAAAATAGCAGCTTAAATAAAGTGTTTAGTATGGTGAGTGTAGAAAACTGGAGACCCTTTTTACTGGAAAAGAGGCATTCCATCTTAGTCCTCACGTGACAACTGACAACGCATCTGCATTTTGATTCGTAATTGAGAAAAGATGTAGATGTCTATGGGCCACAGCAACCACCTACCATCAGGTGGACTGTGTGCTCGTTTGTCACCCTGTCCTATAAAAAAACCGGCCAAGTGCGAGTCGAGAGCGGAGGGTTCCTAACAAATCCGTAGGTATATAAGTTTAAAATTATTAAAAATATTTTTATTATATGATGTAACTAAAAATTTATGCTTTTCGCAAGTTTTCCTTTATCTGTGCTGTACGTTCCTTCGTACCAAATTTCAAGATTCTGAGTTCACGGGAAGTACCCTCTAGGTTTTGATTCCCTTGCGAATGTCGAAAATTTGCGGCATAAACGACTGTGTCTTTTGATTGCGTTGGCTTACAAGTTTGATTTTTTTTTACAGCTCCAAGGGACCGTAGACGTTGAGTATTTGATGTGAATTTCAGCTTGATACCTCCACGCGTTCCTGAGAAAATGGGGTCTTGACAGACAGACAGACAGGCAGACGGACAACAAAGTGATCCTATAAGGGTTCCGTTTTTTCCTTTTGAGGTACGGAACCCTAAAAAAGAACATAAAAGAATAAACTAATAAACATTATGGAGCAATAATGCTATTACATATATCCTTGATAAAACCAAAAGCTTTTGTATTAACATTTAAAATGTAAAATGTTATGAACTGATTTAAATGTATGTGAAGGATCTATTTCATGTACAATGTTTATGCAAATAAAATTTTTTTTCTTAATTTGTTTGGAAAAGATCGCTATTTAGTAACAAGGCCATCTAATTGTACAATTAGAATATAGTTTGTAATCGGTATTTATTGTATTTTGAGATGCGCAGTAGAAAATAAAATAAATTTATTTCTTGGGTGTTTCAAATCTACCACTACTAGACTACAATAAAGACTATTAATAAAATATATAAATGAATAGACATTTATTGACGACTAGCTGTTCCCCACGACTTCGCCCGCGTGTAATTTAGGTTTTTTTTTGCGCGGAACCCTAATCCTTTTTCTTAAATAAAAGTAGCCTAAGGTACTCAGTGCTTCAGTTGGCTGCCAGTGAGAGTCCCATCAAAACAGGTCTAGCATTTCGAAGATTAGCCGGAACAAACAGACAGACAGACAAACATTTTAAAAATTGTGTTTTTGTTATAAGTACCATAAATAATTCATATGCATTTAGTGAAAAGCTGTTATTTTGACATTACTTGTCTATTTTGACATTACAAACAGACACTCCAATTTTATTTGTTTGTATAGATTAAGATATACATCACATGTAGGTATAAAAAAAAACTAATAATCATAGTGCAGTTTATTAATTAGTGATGGTGAATGCATTGAGCCAGTGAAAATGTTTTAGCTCAGCATAATCCTACATGGTAATCTACAACACTGATAATTCTGTGATAACCATAGACAAACTTTCTGTCTGATTATATTTTTGTAATGTATTATAAGCTAGCTGTACCTGACCAGTATGTGTTGCTGTGGCTCAAAAATGCATAAAAATACAAACATATTAGAATGCAACATTGTATCAAATTTTCAAAGTAGTGAAAAACATTGGATGTCGTAAGAGGCAACAAAGGAAAACTGAAAAAGGGGATGGGCAGCAGCATACTTCGTAAAATTATGTTTGCCATCCTGCCTGTAAAGTATGACAACTAATAGATCGGGAGATGGTGACAGAAAATAGTCTCCTATTTTCTCCTGCATGCCTTTTTAGGAATTGATAACTAACCCTAAAATATGAAAGATAGAGGGGTTACGAGGCCTTGCGCGCTTGCACGTCATAAAGAAAATGGCTTCTCTTTGTATAAAGAATTTTAGTATTTTTCCGTGACATTATATTGCATGCCTTTCTAATATAACGTAGTTGGAACAAATTTAAGCTATAATAATTGATGGCATGCAATTCGCAACGGCCGACGGGGCTCAAAGGGTTACGTAGAAATGAAAAAAATAGAACATTTCCGTGTTTACAAATTGCATGCCGTTGTAAAAAATTAGTCCTTTTTATCTCAAAAATACTCTACGAAAATTGGCATGCACCCCTAGTATGACTAAGGGTGGAAAATATTAGGAAAACGTTGTGAAAATTCAATACAACTTTTCGTGATTTCAAACTGCATGCCATTTGAACAATACTTAATTTTTATAATTTATTGACGTTAGTAAATTTGGCATGCACAACAGGAAGTTGTAAAGTAGTGGCATGCATGACGAAAATTGCAAAAAAACGCTGTTATAATTTCCGTGACTTTATTTTGCATGCCATTCAATATTTCATAAAAAACATTATTTTAAGTTGATAAATAAATGGCATGCATATTACACAAGCCTGACATAAAAAACTTGTGCAAAACTAAAATTAAAAAAGGTTTTTTTAACGAAAATTAAAATAAGGAACATTTCCATGTTTTTTTTTGCATTCCTTTTTGTACATATATTATTTTAAACTAAATGTAAATATTACTTTAAACTTCAATAACAAATGGCATGCATGTTTATTGATAAAAAAAATACTTAAATAAACAAAAAAACCGCTGCCAATACATTGGTATGTGGCTTTCTTCAAACTAAGTTATTGTTTCTATTATTAAGTACTCGGGTTTACTTTATTAAATAACTAAAATATTTTATATAGTATATTGTCAAAAACTCACGTAGAATAAAAAATTGTTTTTTTTTGGTGATTTTGAAATGCTTGTAATTTTTTATGAAACTTTCATTATTATTAAAAATACGATGGTGTTATTTAATACGCATGCCATTTTCGATATATACTTAAAATAATATGTTTTAATGAAATGCAAAACGGCATGCAAATTAAAAACACGGTTGAAATGTTTCATATATTTTATGAAACTTTCATTATTATTTAAAATACGATCGTGTTATTTAATACGCATGCCATGGAAAGGATACGGTATTAACATCAATGGCGAGTACATCACTCACCTTCGATTTGCCGACGATATAGTCCTTATGGCAGAATCGCTGGCACTATGCTCAATGACCTCAATAGTGCTTCCCAACGGATAGGTCTTAAGATGAACATGGACAAAACAAAGGGTATATGTAATGACCATGTTAATACCTAGGACAAATAGTCCGACTAGGTAAGTCCAACTTCGACCGAGAGGTCAATCGACGGATTCAACTCGGTTGGGCAGCGTTCGGGAAATTACGCACATCTTCTCGTCAGGTATACCTCAAAACTTGAAAACGAGACTGTACAACCAGTGCGTGTTGCCAGTGATGACATACGGAACTGAGACGTGGTCCTTCACTGCTGGCCGGATGAGGAACCTCAAGGTCACTCAGCGAGCTATGGAGAGGGCTATGCTCGGGGTTTATCTGCATGATAAACTTAGAAATGAGGATATCTGCAGTAGAACCAGAGTAACCGACACAGCCCAACGAATTAGTACGCTGAAGTGGCAGTGGGCCGGCCATATAGCTCGAAGAACCGACAACCGATGGGGAAGAAAGGTTCTTGAGTGGCAGCCTCGTACCGGCAGGCGAAGTGTTGGGCGTCCCCCCACTAGATGGAGAGACGACCTGGTGAGATGTGCAGAAAGTCGATGGATGCAGGTGGCTCAGGACCGTGCTTTGTGGCATTTCTTGGGGGAGGCCTATGTTCAGCAGTGGACTTGTGAAGGGCTGTAATGATGATGATGAAGATGATGATGCAAATAAAAAACGCGGAAATGTTTATTTAATTTTTTCAACCTTTGTTATTATTTATAATATAATGATCATGTGCAACATGCATGCCATTTGTATTTCAGAATTATTTGGTCATAAAATTAATATTTATCTTTATTAGAAGTAGTTTGAAATCAAGGAAAATTTGTATTGAATTTTCACAACTTTTTCCTAATATTTTCCACCCTTGGTCATACTAGGGTTGCATGCAAATTTTCGTAGAGTATTTTTGAGATAAAAAAAAACTAATTTTTTACAACGGCATGCAATTTGTAAACACGGAAATGTTCTATTTTTTTCATTTCTACGTAACCCTTTGAGCCCCGTCGGCCGTTGCGAATTGCATGCCATCAATTATTATAGCTTAAATTTGTTCCAACTACGTTATATTACAAAGGCATGCAATATAATGTCACGGAAAAATACTAAAATTCTTTACACAAAGAGTAGCCATTTTCTTTATGACGTGCAAGCGCGCAAGGGCTCGTAACCCCTCTATCTCTCATATTTTAGGGTTAGTTATCAATTCTTAAAAAGGCATGCAGGAGAAAATCGGAGACTATTTTCTGTCACCATCTCCCGATCTATAAGAGAAAATCATCCTTATGTGGCAATCTATGGGGGTCTCAGCCTATATTCAACAGTGGACTTTTATAGGATGTAGTGGATGGAATGATAGTGAACAAGTTTAGGAGAATTAAGATTTTGAACAAAAAAAAACATTTAGATTTTTATATATACAGAAGATTTAGAAATAATAATATTTTTGACGTAGACCTATGTTCATCAGTAGATGTGTGAGAGTCTCTAATCTCTGTCTGTAAATCTGTATCTGTGATGATAGTAATAATGATGAGTACAATTTTCCTGTTAAATTGATTCCAAATACATACATTCAAATTTTTGTTATAAATAAATACTTACTCAAATGTAACTTTACATTCACTGCACGTGTACTGCTTGAAGGGAGTTATTTTCTTTTTTCTCTTAGTTTTTAATTTCATTTGCTTACTTCTCTTCAAATTTTTTGCTTCACCGTTCTCTAGAAGTATTGAATTTCTGATATTATTAACATTAAAGCTTGAAGATCTTTTAAATGCTTGAGTCAAATCATTTTCGCAAAACTCTTTATCTTCTTTCAATATTTTAATATTATAAGTCTTTGGTGAGGATTCTTTATCTAATAGGTTAGTATTGGTAACTCTAGTTTCTTCAGTATTAATTCTATCATCATCACAGATGGAGACGGCAAATATGTAAGATGTTCCCAAATCAGTTTTGCTTTGTAGTGAGACATCCAATGTACATTCCTTGAATATTAATAATTTAAAATTAAAAATTTTGTACAACCAACTTCAATATAAGTTATTAAGAATAACTCAAAAACTATTGGTCAGACCTTGATCAAATTTATATGGAACCACATGAGAAGCAGCTTTCAAATAAAAAAGAATCATCGAAATCGGTTCACCCAGAATAAGTTATGAGGTAACATATAAAAAAACATACAGTCAAATTGAGTACCTCCTCCTTTGTGAAGTCAGTAGAAAAAAGATTAAACAACATATATTTGGAGCTTTTTGGACTACACAGGCTCTGTAATGTGGTTCATTTATTCTACTGTATAGTTTGCTAAAATATATTATAGTGCTGCTAATATTTATATATCGTCCCTTAGCTAACAACACCGCGTAAGTAATTTTTACCAACTTTACAGGAGACGAAAAAAACTGTCTATTTTAAAAAATCCGTGGAATTTTTTTGTTGTTATTTAATAAATACCCTAGTTAGCGGTATAGAAATAATTATTTATACTTATGTTGACTATTTACTTTATTTTAACTTTTATTTTATGACTTGAGCTGTGTTGACTGATGTTTTATTAGATTAAGGCGGTGTTGTTGGTGGAAATGTTAGGGAATAAGGTATTAATAGATGATTTACAAAAAAAAGTTTTTATTAAGAAATGTTTCGAGAATAATTAACAATCGTTATAACATAGGTATCTATAGCCTAAATCTTAACAATCACATTGTTGACATCAATTGCTCAAAGTTATTTCGTGAAACACGAACCTTTAGAGCATAAGTGCAATTTTTTATTTTAATTGCTAAATATTTAAAACATAGTTCTTAATAAATTCCAACGAAACAAGATATAATAGTATCTAATAAAATTATAAAAATAAAAAAATAATACTTGAAATCTCTAGTCTAATAGTTAGTTGCAGTCTTTAGCGATTGCTGAGCGGAAGGTAATCATAAAAAGAGTGGCAACTAGATGGTAATACACTTTTTAGGTCATGCAAATCTTCATACTTTCGCTTTGTAATTGGTATTTTTTTTATAGGATAAGGGTGACAAACGAGCACACAGTCCACCTGATGGTAAGTGGTTGCTGTGGCCCATGGACATCTACATTTATCCTCGATTACGAATCAAAATGCAGATGCGTTCAGTCTCCGGTTCTCTACACTCACCATACGAAACACAGCAGCATTAAGCTGCTATTTTACGCTGGTATTCTGTGAGAGCGTGGTCCTTCCCCGGTCGAGCCGACCCATTCGTGTTACAACTATACCAGAAATATAGCTGCAGCATGGCTCTACCACATATAAAATATGTTTTTCTAACTGCATACAATTTCTGCAGGTAATTTATTTGTTTAAATCTGTTAATTGATGTGGGAAGACGTGGTAATGGATGAAGTTCGTCATCAAAATCAATTTTATACCAAATTGTGCCATCTGGTCTGTATTCTAGCATACGTACATCCGTGACAACTGGGTCACCTGTCTTTTTGCCAGGCCGTATAGATTTATAAATTAATTCTTTCGAAAAGTCAGTAAAAAAGATATAGTCCAAATAACGAGCTTCGTAAGGCATGGGATCACTCCTAGCTGTTTTAGTTATAGCCATGTATTGTGGAAGGTAAATTTCTTTACCTTTTATTTTACACTCTATTGCACTGTGTACGGAATCACATTCCATGTGGGTATGACCTTTTTTCAGGTACTTTTGAGGAATCACAATATTTTTTTCAGACGCTAAATGTAATAAAGCATTACTTAATATAAAATTGCGATTTTGAGCACAACAGCTATCGTAATATAAAATCACAGGCAATTATTTCTGACTCAAAACCTTCTCTAGATGGTCTACTAAGCATGAAGCAAAAACAGAGGCTTCAAGCGTGCTATTTGACTCATCAAACCAATAACACATTACTTCCTTAGTTGCTAAATTGTATAATTTATAATCACAGAGCGCGAAGTACTGGACTAAGGAAAGTATGACAGATTAAGGACTTGTGCGGTGTTGAGAGGCCAACCGAATCGCGCGCTGTCACTACTTATCGAATTACGGCTTCTAATTGGCTGAAATCTATATCATATGGCCAATGGTTAGACGCGCAATGAGCAGCTCCATCTAAAGGCATTCAAATGTGAAAATCGCCAATTTTCAACTTGAGCGGTGTTGTAAGCTAAGGGACGATATGTAATTCTTCTGTCCTGTGTATGTAGCTCATTCTAAACAGCTGGACCAATTTTAATGTAGGAGCCATTTCATCTTAGTCCTCATGACTGACAACACATTTGCATTTTGATTCGCAAATGAGGATAGATGTATATGTCTAATGCTGAGATCTATAGACCGTACTTTGACTTTGCTCAGACTTTACTTTCGAGCTAAGACAATGTCGGTATTTATAGAGCTAACTTTGAAGTCGTGCTGAGTGCGCGCTTAGCAAAGCCTAAGTCAATGATATCGACGACTTACGTAAAACTCAGGATATTATTCAAAACCACCGTATTAATTTTAAATTGTTATTTTTATGTTACTCTAATTAATTATAACAATAAATAGGCAGCTTTAGGCCGTCTTCTAGTTTTAAATAGCATTAATCCATTTTCTTTTTACGTTATTTCAATCTTATTTCGAATTTCTTAAAAGCTTTTTTTCTGACATTGCACTCATCTCATCCGTTCCAGTTCTCACAGGACCGCTTTCTATTTCATGTAATAATAAATAATTTATTAAATTAATTTGGATTTTTTTTCAATTTTAAATATATATATTTTTTAATTTTATACAGTAATACTGATTTTAAATACGTATATTTTTTTAATTTTATACAGTAAAGTCAAAAACATAAGAAGTGGAATGAAGCATCCATTAATATTTGGACTGTCTGAACCTTAGCATAAGCTTAGCTTAATCTTTTAACTCCGCCGTTGCCGGTCCCAAGCCCGGATGAGAAAGGAGGAGGGGACGAATCCGCCGGAGAGAGTGGGTGTATCCGGTGGACTAACACACCCACCTGCGCTAGGACCTGCGCAGTCGAGCGCCGTACGCGGGGATGAAGGAGTCCTGGAGGGTTGAGCCGATCGTCGCTGGGGTATATAGTGGCGAGAGGCAACACGCCCTCTTTGGTCCGGATTTCAAGCTAAACGGTGGCCCTATCTGCTAGCCACAGATAGGGAAATGGCCAAGCGCCCCGTCAGAGGGTCGCAGGCGAGGGATGTGGGGGCTGCCTAGTCTTCCTGAAAAGGGGGCTGGGTGGTGGTAAAGGCCATGCTGACGGAGCAAGTGACAGTTTATTCGGGTGGTGGGGATGGGCCTTGTCAGCCCCATCTACCAGCTGGATCGAGCTCCCGATGTCGCGCTGTGAGCCAACTTCGCGTCCCTATATTCTCCCGGTAATCCTAACGCCTGAAATTCCTTTCTAAAGTAGGGCGTTCCCAAAGGTGCGGGCTCCATGGAGGGTGGGAAGCCGGGGGGATGAATTTTAAAAAAAAAACACAAATTATGGACAATTTAAGGCCCAATAAGAAAGAGGGAGAGGTGTCAGAGGTGCTTACCAGAGACACCAAAGAACAAAAGGGAACCGTCACTAAACCGACGGTTCCACGGACAGTACCGTCCAGCGTAGGTGCCCCCACCAAAGGGATAACCTCGCTGAACGTTTCCAAAACCAGTTCCAAGGAGCTGGAAGAGAAAAAGGAACAAGAGCCCGCAAGTGATAAAACTGCGGAGCCACTACGGACTGACGACCTTTTCTCTGCTGCCTGGCAAGTGGTGAGCCGTAAGGGGAAAGGCAAGGCACCCAAAAAGGTGACTTGCCGACCTGACGGACCATCAGGAGGGTCTATCCCTGCAGGCAATAGTGGAAAGGCCAAAAAGAAGAACAAGAAGCAGCGGGAAAAAGGCCGTAGAGAACGAGCCGCTTTGGCTGCTTCAGATACCAAAACCAAGGAGGCTGGGCAAGCTACTGCGACTGAGGTGCTTGGCGCTGGAACCAGTAGCCGCGCTGAAGCTGGGAAGGATAAAAATCCAGCCCAAGTGGAAGTCGCGGACGCGGGAACCAGCTCTAGGATATCCGCCAGGAAGCAGCGAGCGGCCAAGCGTCCTGGGAAGAAGGAAAGAGCAGCCAAAAGGATGCTGGAAGAGTCCACCTCGCCTAGAGGTGAACACAAAAAAGTGCGACTCGAACAGCAACCTAAGACTGCAAGAACGAGCTACGCTTCCGCTGCTAAAGCAGATTTGGGTGTGGCCTTAACGTGTGCGCGTTCAAGTCACATTACGAAGGAAGTAGCAGACGACATCCTCGTAGCAATACAGAGGAAGATGATCAGCGAGGCCTGGAGTAGCCAGGACCCTGATGCGTCGGGCCCAGTTTTTAGGGGCAAACCCGTTTATACGGAAGGTGTCCTGAAACTGTGGTGCGACGATCAGAAGGCTCTGGACTGGTTGAAGGGGAACATTGCTACCCTCGACCTTAAATCCAGCACCTTGCTGACAATAAAGAAACAGTCAGAGATACCACAAAGAGTCAAATGTGGTATCCTTATCCCTGATGCCCAGGGGGCCTGGAAAGACTCACGCGACATTGGTCGCGTGTTGGCGTACCAGAACCGCTGGGTTAACATCAGGAACTGGCTGTTACTCAAGGCAGATAAGCAGACGGACGGGTGGTTCCTCGTTGTTTCGGTGCCGGAGGATCATATCCCGACCCTGATGAAGGCCGGACGCCGTCTCGCATGTGTATGCGGGGCGGTATACGTAAAATTCCAGAGTCGTGGAGGCAAATTCTTTGATACTCCACCGAGCAAAGAGGTAGAAAACAACCCGGAAGTTATGGATACCGGAGCCATAGTTACCGGTACAGCGGAATCACTGGAGGCCAAGTCCAGTGAAGAAACGGCCTGCACAATTGAGCCGAAGCCCCCAGTGGAGATTGGGCTCAGCGGCAGCTCACTGAGTGACGAGGAGGACTGCATTTTGCCGACCACCTCCGACTCGGTGGCTGACGATGAAACCCGAGATCTTCTGGCAGGCCTATTTTTGGGCGGGGACGGGGAGGACGCGATCAATGATGGCGTGCCCTTCGTCCAAAACTAGCCTAGTGCAGGCCAACCTCCACCACAGCGAAACTGCGTCGGTTCAATTACGCAAGTGGTTGGAGGTTCAAAGGACTGCCATAGCCTTAATCCAGGAGCCGTGGGTTGGGGCTGGTAAAATTAAAGGCCTAAACAACCTAAAAGGTAAGTTATTCTACAGCTCTGAACACGACAAGCCTAGAGCGTGTATTTACACTACTAAAGATATCTGTGCACAACCTTTAACAGATTTCTGTTCTAGAGACATGTATGCCGTAGCAATACAGTACACACAGGAGAGTAGATTAGTCGTCGCCTCGGTCTACATGCCGGAGGAAGACACTCCTCCCCCTCATGACCTCAGCAGGCTGGTGAATTTCTGCGAGAGGACCGGACTAGAGGTTGTGATCGGGACGGACTCCAACGCACATCATCCCCTTTGGGGAATGGAAAAACCAAACGAACGAGGTAAAGTTTTAGTTGAATATTTATTTAGTACTAACCTAACCATTTTAAACATAGGTTCTGAACCTACTTTCATAAACAAACGCTGTCGCACTATAATCGACCTCACACTTGCAACAGAAGGAGCAGCCAAACTAATTACGGGATGGCATGTGTCAAGAGAGGCCTCATGCTCAGACCATAGATGGATCTGCTTCGCACTACAGGTCGATATCCCCTCTACACCACCATGGAGAAATCCCCGCAAGACAGATAAAACAAAATACCTAAATAGGCTGACGTCTTTGCTAGCGGATTTTGAGGGGATACATACTATAGCAGATCAGTCGCTCCTAGAAGAACAGGTAGCAGCTGTTACTAAGGCCATGATAGACAGCTACCATGAATCATGTCCAGAAATCACTCCACCAAGACATGCCGAGGTAAAACAACCGTGGTGGGGTAAAGAACTCGATAGAAAACGTAAGAAGGTAAGAAAAGCTCTAAATAGGGCCATGAATACCTCAATGGATGAAGACTGGCTATTATATAAGAAAGCTAAGTCTGAATACAAAAAATGTATCAGGTATCGACGCTCGATTGGGTGGCGTAAATTCTGTGGCAACATAGAAACCTGCAAACAAGCAAATAGGATTAGGAATATTCTAGCTAAACAGAACACGTCGGGATCCATGTCTCTAAAGAAACCCGACGGTAGCTACTCAACATCGCCGGATGAAGCCCAACGCATCCTAATTGAAACGCACTTCCCAGGTTGCTGCGTAACCCAGGAGGCAAACCGGCATGACGACATACTGACATCAACAGCAGAAGACTGGAATTTAGCACAGAGAGTGGTAACGATGGACAAAATCCATTGGGCCATTCACAGTTTCCTCCCCTATAAGGCAGCAGGACCCGACGGCATATTCCCGGCACTCCTACAGTGGGGGGGTAAAGCCCTAATAGTCAGACTTGCTGCCATAATGCGAGCCTGTCTTGCTCTTAAATATGTTCCTAGGGGATGGAGGGAAATGAAAGTTACATTCATACCCAAACCAGGTAAGAGCGACTACACTGACCCTAAATCCTACAGGCCCATTAGCCTCACATCCTTTCTCCTAAAGACGATGGAGAGGATGTGTGAAAGGGAATTAAGGGGGTCGGCGCTAATGAACTTACCACTACACGACAAGCAACACGCCTACAGTCTAGGCAAATCAACAGAATCGGCCCTTCATAAGGTAATTACAAAGATTGAAGAGGCCATCCAAAACAAAGAAATATGTCTAGGTTCCTTCATAGATATAGAAGGTGCTTTTGACCGAACGAACTTCTCCAGCATAAAAGGTGCACTCGGTAGACACAAAGTTGAACCGGCACTGATCGACTGGATAGTTTACATGCTCAGTACACGAATAATAAAGATTGCTGGTGAATCTCAACCAATCCAAATTAAGAAAGGCTGCCCGCAGGGTGGGGTTCTCTCACCTCTCCTGTGGAATATGGTCATTAATGAACTCATCAGCAAATTAAATGACAATCACTTCTATACAGTAGGTTATGCTGATGACCTGACAATACTGGTCTCTGGAAAGACAGCAAGCATAGTGTGCGACCTGACCCAAGCGGCTCTCCGTATAGTGGAGAGATGGTGCAGGGAACACGACTTAACCGTCAATCCAAATAAAACGGTTTTAGTTATGTTCACACAAAAACGAAAGCTGAATAACTATCATCCTCCAAGTCTTATTAGCACAAAACTCCAGCTATCCTCTGAGGTAAAATATTTAGGTCTTACCTTGGACAGCAAACTTAACTGGAATAAACACATAGAAAACAAAATCAACAAAGCTAGTATAACTTTCTGGCAATGCAGAAACATGATTGGCAAAAGATGGGGATTGACGCCAAAAATCATACTGTGGCTTTACAAAACTGTAATTCGGCCCATGATCACATACGGCGCTCTGGTATGGTGGACCAAGACAAATGAAGCCACCATAATTAAGAAGCTTCAGCGCTACCAGAGACTGGCATGTATGGCTGCCACAGGCTGCATGAGAACTACGCCAACAGCAGCCTTAGAAGCGATGCTGGAGCTAACTCCGCTTCATCTACATATACAACAAGAAGCGACTTTAGCTGCCATCAGACTCAAGACCCTAAATCTTTGGAGTAAGAATAGTGTCCCTCATACAGGCATAATTGATAGAATTCACTCAAAAATTCCTATCCTACAAGCCAAATACGATAGGATTCCTAAACAATTTGTTTTCGATAAGAAATACAAGATACAGTTAAATGAAAACAGCCAGCCGGAAGGATTAAGCCCAAAAGAGCTTAGAATTTTCACCGATGGTTCTAAAACAAATGAAGGTGTAGGTTCTGGAGCTTTCTCTGAAGACCTCAATATTCACATATGCACACCGCTGGGTACCTATAACACGGTCTTTCAGGCGGAATGTATGGGTATCATTCAAGCGGCCATAGCAATAGATGCTAGGAAGGATAATGACTTCCCCATCAGAATACTGACCGACACTAGGGCGGTACTCCAAGCCCTGAGATGCAATGTGGTGAACTCGGGACTAATATATGAATGCCATCAACGATTAAATGAGGTATGTAAAAACAACAATGTGACCCTGCAATGGATAAAGGGACACAGTGGATCCAGAGGCAACGATGCAGCAGACGAACTGGCTAGAAGAGGATTGGCTTTGGCCACTATATGGCCGGAACCAATCATACCAATCCCCTTTGGTAACGTTTGTTCACTGGTACGTAGACACTTCACTAATCAACACGCTCAGCTTTGGAAAAATCTAGTAGACTGTAGACAAGCCAGGGATGCCCTGCCTGAAATAAACAGTCGCTTAACAAAAGTTTTAATGAGACTGAACAAGCCGCAGATTAGGATAGTAACAAGTGCTATCACAGGACACGGCACCTTTAACAAACATTTATTTACTATAGGTGTTACAGATAGTCCCCTGTGCAGGGCATGTATGGGGGAGGAAGAAACGGCGGCCCACGTGCTACTGAAATGTCCGGAGGTCGCTACATACAGGGCTAAACATCTCGGCACGCCGGGATCACTCCCCGAAGTTGCATGCAACATCAAGGGCCTGTTGAGCTTCTTCGGAGAGATCTCATGGCTCGAATAATCACATTATTCCTGCCCACACGCAAAATACGCGCATAGACGTGGAGTTGCGGAAAACAGCCCGTCGTAAACTAAACTAAACTAAACTAAGCTTAATCTTAGCCCGATACAACTATAAATTCAGAATCAAAGATTATGCTGAGCATATGCTCAGCTAAGTTTGTTGTAAGCTAAGACTGAGCAAAGTCAAAGTACGATCTATAGATCTCAGCCTATGGGCCACAGCAACCACTTACCATCAGGTGGATGTGTGTTCGCTTGTTACCTTATCCTATAAAAATAGTTTATATTCACAATTGGATCCTATAGGTGGCACTGTTACCATGATCCAAAAATCAACCGTGCGAAGCTAGTATTTTGTAATACTAAGAATTACCTACTCAGCAAAATAATTAATATTTACTGTAGCAATCAAAATAATCATTCTTACCTCTGCTACTTTATCTAATAGTTGTTTAGCGTTTAATGCCTTTCGCCTTAACTTATATGAATGTTTTAAACTAGCTAAACACTCCCAACATAGTCTCGATATTTCCAATTCAGGTAATATCATTTTGGTAATATTATGTAAGGGCAATGGAATTTCAAACATTTTCCTATTGCTACATAAACATACAATACAAAGTGTTTCCAAATCCATATTCTTTACGTTAGTTTGCAGATTAAATCCTCTTAGAATTTACGATTACGCCAAATCTACGACCAAAAGCCAGTTTTTGTTCTGTTGTTCTTCTTAATAAATATGTAGTGTAGCCATCTTATCTATGAGTGTAGCAAGCATAGAACACTATTACTCCTACGGAGGGTAGCAAGCTACATAGTTCTTCTTCTTTCTTTTTTTATGGTGGTTTTTGAGTAAGCTACATAGTTTTCTTATGGTGGTTTTGATTTCGTTCGCCAATGTCAGCTGTTCCTGTTCTGCTGTTTGACACTAGTGATGGGACACAAGCTGTGATTCACTAGAGTCACTCAAGTAGCTTTTATTTCACTCGCTCTCGAGAAATATTAATGACAACTCGGATTACGAATGACTCTAGTCAACTCGAATGACTCGGACCGCGCGTGTGAGAAATTCAGTTATTATTAATTTAGTTATGACAGGTTTAGCCGGTGTATCTTCCATTTAAAATTAAGTAGTAAAAATTAAGTTTTAGTGAATTAATTGTTTTTAGTAAAGTGTTTATCTAAGAGTGTTTGCTATTAGTACGTGTTAGAAATGACCGATAGTTCCAAAAACAGCTATCTATTCTACTTCACCTGAGGATGCCTTGTGTAGAGGCGAAACACGTGTCGTATTTTCGACGGTGGTGTCTTTCCTAGTATAGTGGTGTTGGGAGTAGTGGTGACATGTGCATGCAATAGAGGGAGGGCGAGAGGCGCCCTTTAAACTAGGTAAGACACATAATTTTATTTCATTAGGCGGAAATAAACAAATTAATCTTTTACAACTTTAATATAATAGATTTCCGCAAGTAACGCCTGATTATATTAATTATCTAATTAAAGTAATTTGGCAAGACCATGAAGCAAATACTTTGTATAATGTAAGACTACAACCTTTACAAAGTATAGAAAAGAAACGTTTTATTAGTTTTTGACAGGCGAGTAATTCGAGTGAAAAACACTCGAAATTTATCTTCATTCGAGTGACTAATTTATCACTGACGAGTGAGTAGAGTGAAAAAATGTCACTCGAGTCACATCACTATTTGACACTTTATCAAAAAAAAACCCAGTCAAGTTTTAAATTATTTAAAGGCAAAAGGATCTATCCATACAGCGTATTTTGTTCATAAAACGAATTTTTCACAATATTAAGTTGATGCATCAGTTTGGAAAGTTTTTAAAGGTTTTAAAGACAGATCAGCTTAACCCAGCAGACCGAATGTCTGCCTAATGAATATCTCAAGGCACCATCGGAGCAGAGCACTTGTAAACTTGTAATATTCGCTCCATAGTATAAATCAAGATGGGGGATCGTAATTATTTACTGTTGAGGGGATATCGTTTCCACTGATTGTTTATCCTTGACTACACTAACTGTACCTACGTACGACTTCGCACGGCAAATATGAGATTGTAAATAAAAAACCGAACGAGCTCGAGTTTGACTTGCGCATCGAGGGTTCCCTATAAACTCGCATGTATAGGTATAGTTAGTTCGCCCATTAGGGGAATCAGTTTTCGATTTTTTCCGAGTATGTTTTAAATATCTCCCCGAAATGTATAACTGAAAACATTGATATCTTTAAGGCGAAGGTGCGTTGGCATTTACAGAATCAGTGTACTCCATCTTCGACGTTATTATACAGCTACTTTAACCAAACTATTTAGCATCACATAGTAGTGAAGTTCATAAACTATGGAATCACCAAACATTACTTTGACGAAAAGATATACTCCAATTAGATATGAGCGCCGCGCCGGCGCGCCGCAGTCGCCGTGAGTTCATGTTGATGCGTCGCCGTCGCGAGTCGCAACTTCCTTTCCCGCTCACACGCGCGTTCCACCGCATTAGCCCCTTCGCACACGGCGTCGTATCGTAATACGCGAGTAGGACGGGAGCAATACGAGCGCGTACATGTTCAAACAAGTCCGCACACGAAGCGGTGCTGCAGCGAATCGTAGGAGATGTTTATTGTCATTACGATAGTCGTAGTGCACTAGCTGGCGTAAAAAATTAACTGTTCATTAATTTCTTTAAAAATTTAACAGAATTTTAATTTTTTTTAACTTATCACGACTTTTAATTTCAATTGGTATGAATAAGACTGAAAAAGTGATTGAATTCGTGAAACTGGGTGAAGCGTTCCCTTGTCTATATAATCATTCATTAAGTGAATATTCAAGAAAAGATCTAACGAATAATGCCTGCCCAGGCTGGAGTTCCCCAGGGCTTTATTAAAAATATAAAGCTGTTTTTGGTACCAACAATATGCTTTTCTTTAAGTTTTATTTAATAAATCTCTTCCTGATAAAACAATATCTAAGGCCTATGGCCAGACATGCCGCATCGCCACGACGCCGCCGCCGCCGAGAAAATTTTCAGGCCACGCCGCCGCCGTGGAATTGGCCTTCGGCGTTCATATTTAACACCAATATACGTCACGGTCACGGTCTTTTCTTAAATTGCAAATGTAAGTTTGTAATCGCATAAATATATTTTTGGTGCTTCTCATGTGGTCCCATATAAATTTGATCAAGGTCTAATAGTTTTTGAGTTATCCTTGATAATTTATATTGAAGTCGGTTGTACAAAATTTTTAATTTTACCACTTGTTAGAGCTCTGAGAGACCGTAGACCTATATTTTTAATTTCAACTTGATATATTCACGTGTTCCTGGAAAAAAGGGTCTTGACAGACAGACAGACGGACGGGCAACGAAGTGATCCTATAAGTTATATTCTTACTTTTGAGGTACAGAACCTTATAAATTAAAAGCCAAAGAACAAAAAAAAATAGTTTTTATGCCAAGCACCAAGCAACCAACCTGCGCAGTAAAACGAATCAGGAGAAATATTCTTCACAAACAATACACAGGGAAAGTAAAAATACTTTTATTAAATTTATTCAAATGCTGTAAAATCGATACAATTTATACTATTGCTTTTCACTGCACTTCCCTATTTATTTCATTATAAAATAACTCAGTTTTAATATTAATAAATCATCTCTTAAGGCACTTAAATATTCTTTGAACATTTTGTAGCATATTTATTAACCCAGAAATAATTAAAACTTTTACGCCACTTTCACAACGTAAGCAACTCAATACTAAAGCAACTTGCGTTTTTAATACGCGGCGTTACGTTATAACGGCAATGTATAGCAACCTAACGCACAAAAAGGAAAAGTAGCCGTTGATACCATGGCTACCAAATTATATTTAACGTGCTAGATTTAATTGCTATATAGTCTGTTCGCTTAGATACGGTCACCTTTGAATCGCGCCGCCTTGGCACGTGCCGGCTCTTGTCAAACGCGCCGCCGCGACATCAAAAGTCGCAGCGTACTGTGTACACCGGCACGAGAATTTTGCATTTTAAAGCTAAGCGCCGTAATGAAAGGTTCTTTGTTACTGGTGTTTATTATTTATATTCGTATTTTATTAGAAAAAACAAAATAGTATTCTATTTTATTCTTGGAATAGAAAAACATTAATTAAACAAATACAGTAAAACAATAAAATGAAACGAAAATAATAAGTGCGCCTCCTGGTGTAATGACACTATCTTAGCGAACAGACTACACTGTCTGTAACCTTAGCACATTCATCAATACTAAATCAATGTATACTTTAGACTTGGAGCTTAGAGCTTTTGTTTAAAGTATGTAGTATTTCTTTCATTTACATTCAACTGTTTGTGTCCAGTGCGATATTTTTTTTGGAACAGTATTACGGGTGCGATAATTTGTCATTATAGTTTTGTGCCGTTTTGTTAATTATTATTAAGTGGTTATATAGATTCCATTGTTAACTTCCATATTTAATGTGTTGTATGTTTTATGACTGTTGTATATTTGTACTATAGTTTTAAAGGATAAAGAATGACGTCAGTTCAATTTATCCGCCAAGATGATGCTCTTTCTGCACAGAATAGGTAGCCTCTCTTTATTCAGTGGCAGCTTAAGTAAAAACAAAATAATTTTCTCTCAAAGATAAGTAAAAATGGCATCAATGTTCATGCAAATAAGAAATACTGCATTTAAAATCAATGCTCTATCTAGTGTCAATATGGAATTAGGTCATCAAAAACAAAAACTTAACGAGTTCACCAAATATCCGCGTCATTAAAACAAAAGATTAAAAAAAAAACATGTGAGTTCTTGTCTATTAACGCTAATACATAACACATTGTAATTTAAAATGTACGATTTTTTTAAATTGTCGTCACAGTGACCAGGCTTATGGTCAAGTTGACTAAACGATTTGAAATTGACACAAGGACACCCAACATTTGATATTTCTAATGTACCTAAATGCTCTAAGGTTTGTACAAATTTGAAATTATAATTTTGAACATTTTTTTTATAACTGGCTTTACGGCTCTGGGTTCTAGCCCTTCTGAGCCTGAAGTTTACAATTTATAATTATCCTTCATAGTACACTGCTTCACAATATGATGATGCGTCACATTGTGCAGCCCTCGGGAGATTTTGACGGCAACTTGAGCCAGCAGACAGCTGACAGTTGGCAGTGGTATCTCAAGGCGCCTAAGCGGACACCTTATCTTGAGAATCACATCACCATCAGAGCACTTGTTTCAGTTTCCAGTAATACTTCACATGCGTAGACACTTAATACACAAAATCACACCACATACATATCAAAGTCCACTTCAAACCATTATTTAAACAATAATACAGGAGCAACAAACCGCCGCTGGTCAAGTTCCCGCCAAAACTCAATTTTGAACATCTAATTAATATAACACAGTTAATTATTATTATTATTTGTGATGCTATAAAATAATTTACATTTCAGTGTCGAAATATTTACGACAATAAATATAATACAATGAATTTATTATTGTAATCCAAAATGCATTTATACACATAGTGTAATAAAATATAAAATATGTTTAAATGTAAAATATCACACTTCCTAAAGTAATTCATAAACTAAATTATTAGATAAATTTGTATTAAATGGTTTACAAGCAATCCCGAAATTTGAACACATACAATATTATCTGTCCCGAAATTTGAACACATGCAATATAATCTGTAGTTCAAAAAATTTTATTATTTGTAGTAGTAAATATCCGTAGCTTGCTACAACGTGAGTTCACTTTAATTATTAAATAATCACATTTCAAATGCTTATTAGTTAATAACAGTAACATTTTAGCACCAACATTATGTTAAAAACAGAAATCCCACAGTTGGTATTCCATTAAGAAGTATTTAATGAAATTTGCTTTTACATTTTTACTTAAATATTAAAACCAACATTTGAGAAGTGTAAGGCACAACGGACGACAAGTATTTACATAGTAATTATAAGCATTATAACATTGGAAAAATATTTTTTAATATTTCAAAAAAAAAGTGTTTATTTTTGTTTTAATGAAGACAAAAAAGACTAATAAAAAAAAATATTATACAAGACTGGAGACAGCATGTCGTAGATATTATAAATATTTTTACGAACAAATAAAATTGAAGTGTTTATGTCAAAAGAACAGCTGTTTACTAAATGCAGGCATATAAAAGCATATACGATACTTATAACAAAAAAACAATTCTGTCTGTCTGTTTGTTCCGGCTAATCTCCAAAACGGCTGGACAGATTTTGACGGGAATTTCACTAGTAGATAGCTGATGTTATAAGGACTAACTTAGTATAATTTTATTACAGAAAAATAATTAGGGTTCCGCGAAAAAAAAATTAAAATCTATGAAATCCAATCGCAATAAATTCCACGCGGGCGAAGTCGCGGGGAACAGCTAGTACTACATATTATAATTATGGACACAGAATAGGAAATTGACAGTTTCGGTCGATAGATTAATCTTTACAACAATTTTTTATAAAACTTAGCCACAGAGGGAAATATAGATTAAAAAAGAGTGAGAAGGCAATTTTAGCTTTTAGGGTATGTGGGGATGTAACAAATAATCATTCAAACGCCGACTTCAACTGATTGTTGTGAATCCTATAAATTAAGGAATAAATTACAGCATATGCATTTGGAAATACCCACTCCTTTCATAGACTGTTATCTTGGTGCCGCATCTTATCGAGCAGCAGTTCACTTTGAGTAAATTGTAAATATAAATATGTCAATAGAATTCTGAAAATTCCTTTCTCCAGTAACAGTTTATGAAAGCCACACTCTACTATTAATATTGATTGCAGAATGTATACTCGTTGCCTCGAAGGACCTTCGTCTCACAGAATATCAAGGCTAAGTTGGCAACACACAACACCTACTGTTAACACAGTATGCCCAACATCTAGACAACCAATAACTGGCATTTGGATTTTGTTTTTGTGAATGCAATAACATAAATAATGAACTGAAACTAATGAATGAGTACAATAAACCTAGACATTTTGAATGGAAAGTATGCTGTGAACCTTTATACAAACATGCCGTCTCCAGTATTACTGAACATAAATAAATTGTATTGTATCAAATTTACATAACCTAGTTTGTATTTTACATACATATGCAACATAAAATTACATACATTATAATCAATGTATTAAAACAAAAATATCAATAATTGTAAGTGATATCACTTAAATTTGTACATAAAGTTGTACGCTAGGTAGCCCATTTATGGCCTGCTCATAAAAATCGACGTTAGTTTTTTAAAAATTTTGCTCCCTCTCTTTTCGCTAAAAGACAATAGAAAGAGACAGGTATAGAGATAATTAATAGTAAGCGATAATCAACGATTATAAGTTAGGCCGAAATTATCGTAAGAGTCAATAATGGCGCGTTTAAATTTAGACGACATTTCAAGTAAAATGAAATAAATCGACTGAGTCTTCACTTTTTCTTGTTTGACAAAAGGAAAAGATATTTTGAGATATTTGTTAAAGGGATTTCTGTGCCCAATCAACGATGTAGAATTTCCATATTTCACCACATTTTTATTAACTAGCTTTCGTGTACGTCTGTTTGAATTAAATTTAGTAATTGACGTTAAACTAATTTCCTGATGAGCTAGACTTGAAATTTTGAACATAGCTCAAAATCAGAGGACAATGTAAGAATATGAAAAAAAAAATTTAGTCTGTATAAAACTCATTTGAATGATCTTGTTTGACCTAACTAAACGTATTGAATTCTATAATATTTGGACCAAATATAAACGCGCCATTAACTAGATATCAAATGAGGAGAGGAGATATTTTTTGCTCTACATGTACACAAAATATTTTTGAACTTTATAAATTAGTGTTTAATATAGGTAATAATAATTATCTAGGTAGTACAAAATGGGGACTTTGTACTGTAAACATGAGCACCCTGTTAGTAACCTATCAAACACAGTAAAAACTTCATTACTCTCCGTAAATTGTTACAAAGCTATGAAAAGTTAAAAAATATAAGGAAATATTTGATCATATTATAATACAACTCCAAAAGAAAATTTTCTTGTAGTTTGTGAAGGATTTTGAAGTGTTTTTTTTTTTAAATCCAAGAAACATATTTGTCACTGGAAAAGCGAACATCCAGTTTATGATGATCTTCCTGATTCTGCAAGGGTGCATAGCTTGAAGAACCGAAAGAAAAGTTAAGAAAGGTTCCCGAGAATCAGCGTCGTGCTAGCAAGTTTTATCGGGGGACGTATTACGAAAACTTTACTTTTACTAGGTGGCGGAACGTCTTTGTCTGCCTAGGGGTCTCTATAAGTACTACCTATTTCTTTTTTATTATAGTTTGTTTTTTATTTAGTATAGCCTAAGTAAGGCAATAGGCTGAAAGTAGTTCTACCAGCTAGTCGATATAGTGCTGCCATAATATTCGCGAAACGTTACAACGCAAGAAAAGAAGTACACGATACTAAATTAAGGGAAGTTGAAGTTTTTACTGTATATTTGTTACTATCGAAATTTTCTTTTTTAATTTATACTAAAACACTTAATCAAGACTTGTTACACGTGGGACAGTTCTTTACACGATTCTCTAACTGAGCGAGCTGTCTCTGCAAATGCATTATGGTCGCATCCTTCTGTTTCAACTTCATTTTCAACGTGCTTATAGAGTCCTCTAACGCACCGTACACCGCTTGCACTTCCGGTTGATAACTGAACACTTGAGGAGGCTCGTCTAAACAAAAAAACTCCCTAACAACCGGGTGATTTGGTAACTTCGACAGTATCGCGTTGACGAACACCTGTAGGCCCCGAACGCGATCTTCTAGGAACGCTGGCTCGAAGTTATCTCGAAACCACCTCTTGCCCGGCAGGGGAAGGATAACGTTCGGTTGCTCCGATTTGATTCTCGTGTAGAGCCTCACAAAGTCCGTGTACCGTCGGAACACCAGCCAAGATTGGTCCCTTTTATCATCCTCCACTTTCAACTTGTAAATGGTGAAGCGGGCCCTCTCTTCCATTACCTCATACCCGACTATAGGTATTTGTAAGGAGTCAAACTTCTTGATTTCATCGCTGTGCAAACTTAAATCTATATTGCTTATGCTATTTTGTACAGTACTTAAGTTTCTATTGAAGTCCATTGTTCGGTAGGCTTCGTTTATGTTCCCCATCGATTTGTAGTGACTTCGGTGTTGCATGTTCGTCCGAACTCTGGGTTCGACGATCTCGTTGTCCGAGTTGGATTCTTTATACCGTGCTTTGTAGAAATTGTTAATTTTCAATATGGTATCATTTGAATTTTGCGTCTGGCAATCATCACTAGACGTTGACGAGATTTCATTATTCATGTTGTCTCTTTTGTCTATCAGTGAGATTGTTCTGCCATTTTCCATGTTTTGTACGGTCGCCATTTTGTTGTTTTCTGTAAATGAAATAAAAATATTTAAGTTCATCTGAGTGCCGTAGTTACCGCTTAGTGGCGGTGTAAGAATATCCACTACCATGTATCATCCCGTGGGTGTCGTAACAGGTGACAGAGGGAAGAAAATCAGGAGATGGGCAGTAGCGTCTTACTTACTGCTCGCCGAGCCCCCTATGAGGCAATCTGTGGGCCTATGTTTATCAGTGGGCTTATTTTTTTGTTATAGTATAGGGTGATAAACGAGCACACAGTTCACCTCATTAGGTAAGTGGTTGCTGTGGCGCATAGACATCTATATCTTTCCTCGTTTGTGAATCAAAATGCAGATGCGTTGTCACCAGTAAGGACTAAGATGGAATGCCTCTTTTCCAGAAAAAGGGGTCTCCGGTTCTCTACACTCACTATACGAAACACGGCACTTTTAAGCTGCTATTTTACGCTGGTATTCTGTGAGAGCGTGGTCCTTACCCGGTCGAGCCGACCCATTCGTGCTACAACTATACGGCTAATATAGCTGCAGCATGGCTCTACCACATATAGAATATATATAACAGGCCGTAAAGGAGTGCCGTGGTAGCTCGGAAGCTAAAACACCGCTGTAATTTTCACAGCACGTGATCAACCCGGGTTCGAAGCCGCCGGCACCAGTGAAATTGTTTTTTAAGTGTTAATTGACCACGTGCTCGACGATAAAGAAAACCAGCATGTCTGAGAAATTAGAAAAAATATTTTAAAGAGACGTGAAGTCAGATATGAGAGGAATCTTGTCGTCAGCTGTGAGACGTCATGATTTAACTTTACTTTTTATTTACGATCATCTATGATTAAACAGAAACAGAAACTTTTTAGGGTTCCGTATCCGAAGGGTAACCAACCCTATTACTAGGCCTCCGCTGTTCATCCGTCCGTCTGTCTGTCAGCGGGCAGTGTCTCATGATCCGTAATAAGACAGTTAAAATTTTCACAGAATGGGTATTTTTGTTGCCGCTATAACAACAAATAATAAAAATTAAAATAAATTAAAAATGAAAAGGGGCTCCCCTACTAGAAACGTGTATTACGATGGTACGGAACCCTTCATGCGCGAGTCCGACTCGCACTTTGCCGGTTTTGTTTAAGATCATCTATGATTATACAGAAACTTTTTAATTCAAATATAATAAATAAAAATACGAACTCTTAATGGCTTACATATTTAAATCAAATGAGTTTGTGGGTTTGTAAATTGCGCTTCTTTCGAAGCTCCCTTCCTATGGGCTTCCCGAGAAATTGTGCAATTGGATCACCAGCTTCCTTGCAGATCGGAGCATCAAGGTCGTTGTAGACGGTGCATGTTCTGACTACAAGCCTATTAACGCTGGTGTTCCACAAGGCTGTGTGCTATCACCAACGCTGTTTCTTCTGCATATCAATGATATGTTGCTAACTGGTAACATTCATTGCTATGCGGATGACAGCACTGGTGATGCTCTATACACCGGCCGGGCCAATATTTCTCGGGAAAACGTCGCCGAGTACCGGAACAAACTTGTGTCTGAAGTCGAGTCTTTGCTGGACAAAGTCTCGGATTGGGGGCGACTAAATCTAGTCCAGTTTAATCCTCAGAAGACACAAGTTTGCGCGTTTACCGCTAAAAAGAACCCCTTTGTCGTATCTCCTCAGTTTCAAGGCACTCCCCTTCTTGCCTCAGCCAGTATCGGTATCCTCGGAGTCGACATATCGAGTGACGTGCAGTTTCGTGGTCACTTGGAAGAGAAGGCCAAATTGGCCTCTAAAAAGCTTGGCGTGCTCAGCAGAGCGGGACAGTATTTCATGCCGGCACACCGCCTGCAACTTTACAAGGCGCAGGTTCGGCCTCACATGGAATACTGTTCCCATCTCTGGGCAGGGGCTCCCCAGTGCCAGCTCCTTCCACTTGACCGCATCCAGCGCAGAGCGGCTCGAATCGTCGACGACCGAGCCCTTTCCGATCGGCTCGATTCATTGGCACTGCGAAGAGATGTTGCATCTCTTTGCATTTTCTTTCGCATCTACCATGGGGAGTGCTCTGAGGAATTGTTCGGATTAATCCCAGCCGCCAAATTTCATGAACGCACATCGCGGCAGAACTCCCGATACCATCCATACCATCTGGATGATTGGCGGTCCACCACTGTGCGATTTAGAAGATGTTTTCTTCCTCGCACGACTTCCTTGTGGAATCGATTACCATCAGCGATTTTTCCGGACCGATACGACTTAGGGACCTTCAAGAAAAGAGCCTACTCCTTTTTAAAAGGCCGGCAACGCATCTGCAATTCCCCTGGTGTTGCGGTTGTTCATGGGCGGCGGTAGTCACTTACCATCAGGTGAGCCGCATGCTCGTTTGCCCCCACTCCTATAAAAAAAAAAAAAAAAAAATTGCCCTTGACATTTCAATTCAATGTGCAATTCTACTATTCGATAAGTAAGCTTGAGTCTTCCAAATTATTTTCTCAATAAAATTAAAATAATGTGTCTCAAATAAAATATTATTTAAGACCTTAGGCCGCGTATCGATTATGCGCTCCAAGAGGTCGAACATTGGCGAGCGTTCCAGTCGCGCGAAATGGTTAATTTACAGCTTCACAATCCTCTTATATCCTGTCACAGATGACAAATCATCGATTGCCATCTTTGTTTGAATGATTTCAGGTGAACTATAAGTTCGTTTGCCGTGTAGTGGCGGTCAAGAATATCCACTACCCCATATCTTCCCGTGGGTGTCGTAAAAGGCGACAAAGGGAAACAGGCAGGAGATGGGCAGCTGCATCTTCCTGATAATAGCCGAAATTCCAATAAAAAAACTGCTGTTGCCAACCCGCTTGCCAAGCGTGGCAACTATGGCAAATACCCCCCAATGATTAGAGCAACAAACACACGGCCCCCAGTCCCCGGCGGCCCCGCTATTCCTAGCTACGGTGGTGACCATGGTAACGGCGGGGCAGGGGGTGCTAAGAATCTCCGGTGGAGGTTCGGTTGCCACCTTAGACGACTCGACCTGGCAACGTACAACAGGACTGACGAGAAGATCGTGGAGCTGGAAGAAGAGATAGACAAGTTGCGCTGGCATATTATAGGATTATCCGAAGTCCGAAGAGAGGGGGAGGACACGGTAATCCTCGAATTCGGCAACTTGCTCTATCACCGGGAGGGCGACCATCTGTCCCAAGGAGGTGTCGGATTTATCGTCCACAAGTCTCTCGTTAACAACGTTGTAAAGATCGGGAGTGTGTCGACGAGGGTTGCGTACCTTATACTTAGAATCACCAAACGGTATTCGCTGAAGGTCATACAGGTTTACGCACCAATCTCGGCACACCCCGATGAGGAGGTGGAGGAAATGTATGAGGATATCTCTAGAGCCATGCATTCCTCCAAAACCCAATATACGGTGTTAATGGGAGACTTCAATGCAAAACTAGGCACAAGAGAGAACGGTGAGCTTAAAGTAGGGATTTTTTTTTATAGGATAGGGTGACAAACGAGCACACAGTCCACTTGATGGTAAGTAGTTGCTGTGACCCATAGACATCCACATCTATCCTTTATCAAGAATCAAAATGCAGATGCGTTGTCACCCTTGATGACTAAGATGGAATGCCTCTTTTCCAGTAAAAAGGGTCGCCGTTTCTCTACACTCACCATACGAAACACAGCAGTGTTAAGCTGCCATTTTACGCTGGTATTCTGTGAGAGCGTGGTCCTTCCCCGGTCAAGCCGACCCAGTCGTGCTACAACTATACTATTAATATAGCTGCAACATGGCTCTACCACGTACAAAAATTTGGAATAGGGCAACGGAACCCAAGGGGCCAGCAGCTGGCCGACTTCATGGAGAAAGAGGGACTCTTTATGATGAACTCTTTCTTCCAGAAGCGGCCCCACAGGAAGTGGACCTGGTCGAGCCCCGACGGTTCGACAAAAAATGAGATTGACTTTATTATGACGACCAGACGACAACTGTTCAGTGATGTCTCCGTGATCGCGAGGGTGAAAACTGGTAGCGATCACCGAATGGTTAGAGGCACACTGAACCTAAACGTTAAGTTGGAAAGGTCTCGTCTAATGAAGTCAACGCTCCGTCCACCTCGTGCTCTGTTCCAAAGTGCCGAAACCTTTTAGCTCGAGTTACAAAACCGTTTTCAGTGCCTAGAAGACTGCAATGAAGTGGACGATATGAATGACAAGCTCGTGGAAACTGTCCATGCGGTCGGAGCTAAGTTCTGCAAGACCCGCCGCAGAAGAAAACAAAAACTCTCCGATCACACTCTTAATCTCATGGCTGTTAGACGGGAGATGAAGCTGCATTCTTCAACAGATTTGACAGCATAGAGGCAACTGAACAGACAGATCTCCAAATGCATGCGGCGGGACTTACGCAACTTCAATACAGCTTGTATTGAAGAAGCGATCGAGCGGAACCAATGCTCCAGTCTCTGCCAGAGATCTATCTGCCAGAAAGAGCCAACTGTCAAAGCTGAAGACCGAGTGTGGCAGCATCGTTTCCGGGGCACCTGAGATTTTGAGTGAGATTGAGAGGTTCTATGAACAGCTGTACACGTCATCGTTGGAACCACACGCAAGTGTGAGTAACGATCCAAGAGCGAGATCCGACACTATTCCGAAGATATCCCGGACGTCAGTCTGAGCGAGATTAGAATGGCTCTCCAGCATCTTAAAAACGCCAAGGCCCCAGGCGAGGATGGAATTACAGCGGAGCTTCTGAAAGCGGGTGAAAAATCGGTACTAGAAGTCCTTCAGAGGCTCTTTAATTCCGTCCTTCGTGGTGGCATTACACCGGAGGCGTGGAGCAGAAGTGCGGTGATCTTGTTCTTCAAGAAAGGTGACAATGCTCTCTTGAAGAACTACAAACCGATTTCCCTTCTGAGCCGCGTCTACGTGCTGTTTTCGAGAGTCATTACGAATCGTCTCCCACGCAGACTTGACGACTTCCAGCCTCCCGAACAA